AGAGACTCCAATATCCCTTAAGTAAGGAAGATTCCCGGGATCATGCTAGGGATCCTACTATTATTTAATAAGGTATATTCCGAAATTAAGGGATTTTGGGGTCTCTGGGAACTTGAGGGTGAACAGCAAGCCCGGTAAGCGCAAGGCGACAGTCATCCCGAGGAAGTCTCGATGCCTAATCATCAAGATCAGATTTATGGGAACTACATTTCGTGTCAAAATCTTCCGGGAAGAGGCCTAAACCCCAAACCCTAAAAGCCCTAACCCCCACCCCCCTACCCCCCAAAAAAAAACACACACACACACACAGAGGGATTCTCTGCAGTGCAGCGGGCGCGCTTGCGCAGTTTGGGTGTAACCGCCGAGAAGGGGTCGAGCTTCTGGCCGAGATTCCGGGATCTTCCTTTGGGTTCTTAGGATTTAGACGAGTATAACAAGTGTAATAATGGTTATATTGTCGTTATTATTATATTATTGTTGTTATTGTGTTTGTGATAATTGCTATTATCAAGATGGTTTTTCTTTTTTCAGCCTAAGATTAGCCAAGCCTAAAACCCTGGGCCGTTAAACCGCTAAAGCCCCAAACCCCCAAAACCCTCAAACCCCAAAGCCTAAGATCCCTAATCCCCCCCTAGACACCAAAAACTGAAATCTCTAAGCCCGCAAAGCCCCCCCCCCCCCCCCCCCCCAACAAGCCCAACACCCAAAACCCCTAAACCCCGAAACTCCTAAGACCCCGAAGCCTAAGCAGGCCGACCTTGGTGAAGTCATGCCTTGCAACACCGAGGCTGGGTTCGCGGTTCTATCAGGGTTCCTACAAAGGTTCTTCAAGGGTTCTACAAGGGTTTTGTGAGGGTGAGGGTTCCATAAGGGTCCTAGCAGGGTTCTTTGAGGATTCTATAAGAGATATGTTGGGCACGATTTTGATTCCCACTTCACAAAGCCGCCCCGTTTTGATTGAGACGGGGCGGTTTTCAGCGTATAGATACTTGCAAGACTGAAAACACCATTAGACAAATAGGGTTTGGGGAGCTAGCAGGTAGACAGACAGACACATGGATAGATTGACTTACATAGGCTTGGATGGATAGATAGAAAGATACATAGATCAGATGAAGTTTAGAGTAGGTTCGATTAGATTTCATAGATAGATGGATGGATAGATAAAAAGATAGGCAAGCATATAGGTACACAGGAAGGTAGGTCGGTAGGAAGATGGGTTTAAACAATTTGAAGTAAAGCTGTTTAGGGTTTGGCGTTTAGGGTTAGGGTTAGCGTTTAAGGTTCAGGGTTTAGGGTTGTTAGGATTTTGAGGTTTGGGTTTAGGCTTTCGGGTTCAAGGCTTCCGGGTCTAGGGAGTGGCAGTTAGGTTTCAGAACAGAACGACCGGTCGGACGCTTGTACATGTAGAACGCATGGAAAGTGTCTCCGAGTCTCGGATTGGATCTCTTACAGACCAAAATGCAATAAAGACTCTGCGATTCTGCGTGCCAAATCCATGCAGATTCTTAAACTCATTTGGTGCATCACAGTGTAAGCCTGAAGCCCAGACCTTCAGAGACTTCAAGGTTGATTAAAGGGGTTGAAGTGTCTTTAGGGGATTCTGGCTTCCCTTTTAGGGCCTGCCGAAGCTATCAAAGTCGGAAGCCTGCTCGACGACCTTGTCAAAACCCCAAGCCTTTACGCCTAAAAATCTGAAGCCCCAAACCTGTACACCGTCAGCACTACACCCTAGACCTTAAATCCTAAGAATTGTCCAAATGAGGCTTGTCCCAAAATAGATTGCGAGTGGTCAGGCCGTGTGTTGCTTTCGCTGGAAGAGTGTTTACGGGCTTCGGAGGGGTCTTGGTGGGGTTAGATTAGGTGCTTTGTTGATTCTATAGGTTGGCTTGGTTCTGGGATTTCGGGTAAGTTTTGGCTCGAGGCTACCAGGGAACTGTATCTTGGGATCTAGGACTGGCAATCTTGCTGGTATCTGCGCGGCAGGATGGAAAGTGCTTCTTTGGAGCCGCGGTAGCAGGGCTTCGTGTCGTTGGGAAGGTTCTTTGTGGCATGCAGGGGCTACTGGAAGGATCGCCGGGCTTGGTAAGCCGGTCATGTTTGGGACTTTGCACGCCCTTAACGGGTTCGCCTACTTCTAGCCCCATGCTTAACCTCCATGCTAAGTCGTCTGAGCGAACAAGAGTTGTCTTTGCGTCGATGTGGAAGAGAACGTGGAGGTTCAGCTGTAGGAGTCTCGGCCTGGGGTTTGGCGCTTTGTGCCAGAAAATGTCCATCCCTTCGCCTACTTCCCCAAAACCCTAGTGCACCCTCAAAGCTACGAGAATATACTATTCCGTAGGGGTCGTGAATACTACTCTACTAGAAGACGAAAGCGTCTGTCGACTATTGAGTTCCGAAACTCGGAGATAATATGCGGTAAGTTCTGCCCTTCCTATCTGCAGTGGCCGGAACAATTATGTCAGTGGTTGTGTAGGTAGTCTTTTCGCCTTACTGGGTACACACGAGTCTACCCCAGAGAATGCTTTAACATGACCCAAGAAGAAGCATTTCACAACAGGTTTGCCGACGAAGCTTGCAGTAGAGCTTTCGCCTAGATTCGAGTGTGGCAGCAAGAAAGCAATGTAGAGTGCGCACATCCGACGGAAGCTGCAGTGCACCCTTGCCGCAAAATCCTGAAACCCTGAAACCTGAATCGTAAACCTAAGCCGCAAATCCAAAACCCTAACCCTGAACCGTATGGCCCCCAGAGCCTTCACCTTAAGCACTGGCAGACTGGGACGACTGGTCCGACTGCTCCTGCACCTGCGGAGGCCCAGGGACGGGTGAGTTTCGCTCTCCGGACCAGAGTTATTGCGAGTACTTGTTGCCAGCGTCAGTTTATTCCGTTCTGATCACGGACTTGAGCATGTATGTGTAAATTCATTTAAGTGTGCATGCACCTTTTTGCATGAGCACGTAGTAGGTGAACCAGCAAATCAATCAGTTGAACAATCAACCAATCAATCAATCAAGCAACCAAGCAATCAATCAGTCCATCCATCCAATCCATCCGATCCGTGCAATCAGTCCCATCCAGCAATCAATCAAGCAATCAATCAGTACATAAAAATGGGTAATAGTGAAAAACATGGATATTCACATATGCGCATATCTAAGTAAAAACAAGCATAGAACGGCATGACTATGAACCTTTGTATTTTTAGATGTAAACATACGAACACAATATGATGTGTGCGTATACATATGTATGCATGCGTATGTATGTATGCATGTATGTGTACATATGTATCAGAGAAATGTGCATGGGGATTCAGAGTGTGGGGTTTGAGGGCTGAGGGCTCCAAGCCTCAGATCTAGCACCGACATACCCAACCTTGACCCTGAATCCTAGACCCTATACCCTGAATCCTAGACCCTATACCTTGCCTCAACTCTCGAGGGCACTCAACTAAACCCTAAACGGGTTTAGGGGGATTCGGGCTTAAATCCTGCGTAAGCTCCCTGGTTGTTGTGGCTGCTCGAGGCGGCGAAATGCGTCGGCTGCGCACGATCAAGGCGGATGCAGCTACGGTGCCCGAAGTAATCTTTTGTGTGCCTTGATATTTAAGATTGAATAGGGTCCCTTTATGGGCTCAATATAACACCTAAGAGTTTAAGGTATGATGTCCAAGGTACTGGTGACAGGGCCTCCCGATCGAACTCCATCGGGGAGTTTCGGCTAAGGGTTCCCGTACGGGGTTCCCTGTAAGGGGTTGTATAGTACTTGTAAGAGGGATTTGCGGATTAATATAATGACAGTAAGATCCCTGCGGAGTAACGATGCTACTGATTCAGGCCCCTGTAGCAACGCATGGTAGGCCTTGGTCTAAGTCTTTTCCCGAAACCCTCAGCAAGATGAATTTATCAAGAGTTTGTAAGAGTAGACCCCGCAGGGTGAGGAGTCTGTTTACACACTTCACGCGCGTGTTTATGAGGTGCTTCAGTGGCCTGTTGCCAGTACCTTTTCCAAGCAGTCCCAAGTCTGCACAACCTCCAAACTTACAGTGTGGCTGAATCTGTCCTACATCTTCATAGTTGCAGGTCTACCCGAAGAATGGCGGCATGCCATGTGGCGGCGAGGAGGGTGTCGTTTGGGAAGCTTTTTGTGGACATTCAGGGGAGGTGGGAAGGAATTTCCAAGATCTGAAAAACTTACACCCTCTGAAAACCCAGGGCCAAGCCCAAAACCCAACCCTTAGCCCAAACGGTTAAACTCGCCAAGTCCCGGAAACATCCAAAACCAAGCACCACCTGACAATCTCAGACGCCGAATCCTAAGCTCGCACGGGCCACGAAAATCGTGAACCTAAAACCCCCAGCAGAATTCACGACGGAAACGCGACCGAACCCCTGAACTCACGTATCTTACATCCCCGAGTTCGCAGCCAGTCTCTAAGTTTGGGCCTTGCTGCAGTTACATAGGGGCTATAAGGGGGCAGTATTACTAGTTGTCCGACCCCTACCTTGGGCACTAAGGGCACCAGAACCCACTGCTTTTATTGAGAGGGCCAGCACTGGTGCTTTCGGGCTGTGGGGAGTGGGGTTCAGGTTTCGGGGCGCCAAACTTCAAGCCCTGAACCCTAAATGCGAATCTCTTGATGTGTGCAGTGCTTTGGAGGCTTGGATTTTCAGGCTTTGGGTGCGGCTGCGTCTAGCACTCTGGAGGTGTGGGCTTTGAGGTTCAGGGATTCTGAGGCTCAGTGCTATATGTTGCCCTAATTCTAGACCTGAGGAAAGAAACGATCATGCCGATGCTGTGGAATCAACCTTCCCTGACAGCCATCAACATCATTGAACCCTACACCCTCGTAAACCCCCATGAAGCTCTGGAAAACCCGCTGGAGCCCCTATTTGTATGGTTTAGCGATCTCGGAACCCTACATCCTTCAACCCCTCCTCGCTGCAGCCATTCGGGTGCGCACGCGTGGAGAAGGTCTGCTAGTGTTTCCGCGCAAGCCATGGACCCATCTGTATTCGAATCGGGAATCTGTGTCCGAGATGGTGCGCTGGACATACAGATGACCCTAGTTGCAGTTAAGGGTTACTGTCAAGGTTGCTATATGGGTTCTTATGCGGGTTCCCAAACCCGAGTTCCAAAGGGCTGCTAACAATCCGGGGGTTTGGAGTTTCGGATTTTGGATTTGAGGGGTTTAGGCTTCAGGGCTCGCTGTGTGGCTCTGAAGCTCTGCATCCCTCGGGTCAAGGTTCAGGAGCCGGGGCTTTGGGTGAGAATCCCATCAGGCTTGCGGCTTGGCATTTTGAACATCGGGTTGTCAACTTCTCACAGTAGCAGGAGCACTAGTATCTGCAGTACCATAAGTATGAGCAATGTGTGTGAGCATGAGCTTGAGTACGAACATGAGCATAAGTAGTAGTGTTGGTATGAGTATCGGTATTCGTATGAGTATTATTATTTTTTAAGTTTCATCCGTAGTAGTCGTCGACTGCAATCTCTACGATGGCAGAAGATGCTGTAGCGTGTTGAGATCCTCAGCATGACTACGTCTATCCCACCCTAAACTCTTATCCCTTATCCCTAAATCCCCAACTCCCAACCACCGAGACTGGAAGCTTACGGCTTCGTATGCACCGAAGCTAAGGGCGAAGCAACAGCTGGACAACAATGGTGCGCAGCTGTGGGTCCAGTGGCTGGGCAAGTACCTGCCAGACTCTCGTCCGAAGCATCCGGGGTACATTGTGCAGCTTTTTGTATCTAGAGGACTACAATGGGATTTTCTCGTCCTATCCATAAACTCCTGAACTGCTCTGGGTTCAGGAAAGGTGGCTGGAAGCTGGGATTCGGATCAGGCTTTGTAATTCGCTGATGGGGACTGAGGGTTCGGGGTTGAGACCGGTTGTCTACAGGGGTTCCTGCAAGGGTGATCACGAAAGTTGCCAGATGGGTTGCTACATGGGTTCTGCAAGGGGTTTGGGATTGCGGGTGTAGGCTCTCGATGAGGGCTGTTCGGGTTGGTCAAAGAAGATTGTGCCTTGGTTTTAACCTATCAGCTGGGCACGTCAAGGTAGCGCGACGCTCAAATCGAACGGCCCAAACCATACGCCCAAACATTTATGCCACACATTTAATCTAGGAGCATTCGGCTCAATACGGTTGCCACTAAATGATCTTGATGATGATGTAACCTAATCATCCCCGTCCTCAAGCCGTACACACTAAACGGGGAATGTTGCACTATCCGCAATTTCATCCCGGAATTGATCCTAAACCTGCAGAACCTTCCAACTCCTTGCCGGCATCTTCGTGAAGCCGATTGCAGCCGTGTACAGGTCTTACAAGGGAAGTCAGCTCAAAGCCGGCATCTTGTTGTTTGTTCCTGGCACAAAACCAGAAGGCTTGGGGGTTCAGAGGTGCGGGGCTTAGAGGCTTGGCACCTGATGTTCACGTTGTGGAAATTGACAACAAGTGATGGGAGAATAGTCTTTTGGTAGGTTTGCGAAGACAAAAGATTCTGTACTTTCAGGACCCCTACGCCCCAGTCCACGTCAACCCTCTACAAGACCGTACAAGCCCTCATGAAATCTTACAAGCCCACAAGACAGCCCTGATTTTCAGGGCCCCCTTACGCGTATCAATGCCGAGCATTAAGAGCCGTGCAACCTAAACCCTAAACCCTATATGTAAACCCCTAACCGTAACCCTTTCTCGACAAGCCGAGGAATTCATCCGGAGAAAGGGCCTGCAAATAAGAAGCCAGGATGCCACCCGTCGCATTGCTATTGAATGTTAATTTTATCACTTTCTCTCTATCTCTATACATATATATATATATATATATATATATAAATGCATTATATATATATATATATGATATATGTGTATATCTGATACACGTCCTTACCTGGTTGATTTGTTTATGTTGGTTCATTTTTCTGCTGCTGATTTGGCGCAAAAGCTTCTGCAGGTTCAGGTGGTAATAAGGGCGCAAAGATGGGTCCCGAGAGTTCAGGAGTTGCTGGCCGAAACATCTTCAACCCTCAACCTCCACTCTAAGACGCCCAGCATAACCCCACTTAAGGTACTCATCACCATACTTACTAAGTCCCATGATCCTTCAAGTAGCCCTCAGAGGCCTGTTTTCTTTAGTCAGGTTGAGGGTGTAGGGCTATTATAAGCCTGATTACACCCTGCAAAGCCTTAGAAGCCCCCAAACCCTCAGCCCTACCCTCAACCCTTAGGCCCGTAGACCTACACCCCAACTCCTCGGCATCCCGTCTGAGGGCTTCCACATCGCCTCGCAGATCGACTTCTCTTCAAACCAGCTGGGAGATATAGGACTCCCATGGGCTTCCCTTATAACAGGGCCACAAACAGGGGCGACCACAAGGGCCAGAGTAAGGCTTGCTCAGTTGCTGGAAGGGTTTCCATAAGGGTTGCTACGAGGGTTACTGTAAGGGTTGCAAGCAGGCTTGTATGCGGAGGTTAGGAGCTTAGACGAGTTGCCCAGCGCCTGCGAAAATGCTCATTCACCAGTCTCCGTAAGCTTCAAAGGGACCAAGCCCTTCAACCTCTATAAGCTCTCTGATCCGCCGCCTCAAGCGTTCATGGAGGTCCGTATAATAACCCATAAGAAGGCACGCTTACCGGAATCCTTTAGAAGGAGCCCTTCTAGTGACAATTTGAAAGGAGCCCCTATAGTGACCCTTTAATGACTAGAACCCTGAATGGAGCCCTTTAAAAGGGCGGTGTCGACTCACCTGCTCCGGACGTTCCTCTCATTCCAAAGCAAGATGGAGAAGGCCCTCAAGCCTAAACGAACAAAAACTAAATCATCCTAAGCCCCAAACCCGAAATCATAACACCGTAAAGTCCCAAAGCCAAAAGATCAAACGGCGATGCAGCGAGAGGTGTCCATCACATGTACGATGTCACACGGAAGCGAACGCAGTTAAAATCCTGTTGTCTGTTCAGGGCTTAAGGTTTAGGGTCAAGGTTTTCGGGTTTACGATTGGCACTTTAGGGTCAAGGTTTGACGATCTAGGCGCCAGGGTTTAGATTAAGATTTAGGGTTAGAGGTTTTTTTCTCGTATTCCCCAACAAGAACAGCAATCAATCCTAGACCCTGGGCCCTGAGCCCTAAACCTGAGCTTTGACACGAACAAACCAAGCCCTCAACCCCTGCACCCCGCAACACTTTGCAATACTAATCCTTACAGCGCCTTACAAGAACTCTATTGTATAACACACACCGGGACCTTGTGCTACTGATTAAGGCCCTTATATTGGTCCTGAGGCAGTTCTGAAAGCCTACACGTTCAGCTCACAAGACCCTTGTAGAATCTTGACAAACTCCCTGTAAGGCACTTCAAGGCCCAGCGGAACCCTTTCGAAACCCTCCCCCGAAACCCTGTAGATTACACCAAAAAACCGTAAGGCACTAACCCTATATCCAGCGCCAGCGCTTATAAAGTCTTACAAAACCTTCTTGAATCCAACGAACCTAAACATTAACAAAGGCCTTATAAAAAAAACACATACAAACCCACAGCACCCTTATAAAGCCAATAGAAGACACTTGCAACGATTACCCTTAACCCAAAACCCTCAACCCTAAACCCTATAAACCCCAAACACCATTAAAACCCTACAGCTTTGGGGCCTTTGGACGAGGATTTTACGCCATCCTAAAGCAGCTCTTCGACCTGAAGATCGGTGCGGAGCCGCTCGGCAAAACAAAGTCTGGGGTTTAGGTTTGGGGGTTTTGGTGTTTTTTTTTTTAGGATTTTACGGTTTTGGGGTTGTAGGATTGAGTGTTTCAGTGTTTTGGGGTTGCAGGATTGAGGGGTTTTAGGGTTGTAGGGTTTTAGGGTTTGGGTTTGTTGGAGGGTTTTACAGGGTTTGTAAGAGGGTTTGTCACAGGTTTTATACAAGTGGTTCGATGGGGTTTAGTGCGGTGGGTTTAGAGATTGAGAGGGCTTAATAGGCCTCATTGTGGGCTTGGGGTTTAGGGTTTACTGTGTTGTAGGACAAGGGTTTTGTAAGGGTAGAGAATGCTTTTGCAGGGGCTTGAAGAATTAGGAATGCTAGTCCCTCCGGTAATGTAGCTGAGTACAATAGTGCATCCCGCAGCCTTATTTCAATAGCAGTATATCGTAGCAGAGCTATCTATATAGCGAGTTGTTGTAAGATTGCATAGAAGGTTCTGGAGGGTTTTATAGGTTCCTTAGCATTTGACAGGGTTTTTTCCCCAAGCAGTGTAGTCTATGCGGTTCGTGTAAAGACCGCTGGTTAATGTGGTCGCGTGGCGAGCCGTGGAAAACTTTCCCCCAGACGCGGATCCCGCTGTGGCACGGTGCATATTTTGCGCTCACGTCCCGTTGTTTGCGCAGGATCGTCCCCCGGAATTCGTTGTAAATCTGGTGGCAAAGCAGGTGGCCGTCCTCCTGAATCCCACCAGTATATGGGGGGAGGCAGAGGCGGTGGGCTCCGGAAGTCTCCTTGGCGACCTGGTGGTCGGTGGTCTCCTTGTTGTGTGCTGGTGATCTCCCCAGTGGTGCTCTGGTGGTTTTCTCCTGTCGTCTCTTGGTGGTCTCACTGTGGTGATCTCCTCGTGGTCGTCGTGGTGTCTGCTCGGGCATAATGGTGTCTTTGTAAGGTTTTACCAGAATCTTAGAGGACTTCGGGGTCAGGACTTTGGGTGCTTGAAGGGTTTCAGTTTCTATGAAGCTCTCTACAAGGGTTTCTTTGAAGGGTCTTAAGTTTTAAGTTTTAAGGCTTTGGGGATTAGGTTTGTGCTTCGGGTTTCCGGGCGTTGGGTTTGATTTTGGTCATTTCGATCTAGGTCCTTGCGCTCAGGACTTTAGGCTAGCTCGTTGTGGAGCATTGAACTAAACCCCAATCGAAGCCCCAAACCCTAAACCCTATAGATCCCTTAAAGTTTCTTAAAGGAGCCCTAACCCGAATCCCCTGAAGAATTCTGCAGGCCCCGGAACGTCCAACACCACAAAATGAAGCTAACCACGCCGAATGGCTGCATGAAGCAAGAAACAGCCCTTCTACCCTTCGGGGGCTTGGGCAGCTCCTCGGGATCTCGGATGCTGAGAGCATTCTGCCTCTTGTTTTGGGACGTGGGGCTATCTGGGGCTCTCGGCTTGGGCTTCGTGTGCAGGCAGCCCTAAGTCGATTCCCCTGAAGGCCCGAAACAGGGTTTCACCTCAGGAAGATGCGCTTCGATCACAACAAGCTCGGCCGCGCGTCGGCGTTCGCTCTTTCAGGCAGGGTCCTGGGGTTCAAGGCATCAAGAACCTCAATTGATCTAAACTAAACAAGCTGACTAGGGTAACTACGGCTACGGCAATATCTCGGCCCAGTTGTCGCAGTACAGAGGAGACAGGGTTTGCCCAAGGAGAGTACAAGCGCTGGTTCCGGCCTATAAAGGGTTCCGTAGATTGGGGTGTTCATTTAATTTGGTTCCCCAACAGGGTACATGAACCAAACGGAAGTCAAGCGCACAATCCTAAACTCAGAAGCATGAAAACAAGACGCATCGCTCAACCGCGAAACCTCAAAGCCCTCGACAACCGAAGCCCTTACAACATCATTGTACGACCCTGAAGAAAAACCCTAGAACTCCCAGTCCTTCAACCCTAAACCCTAAACCCTAAACCTTCAGCCGCCTTGTCGGAAGGGTACATCAGGAACCAGCCCGTCCCGCTCCTCGAGCTCCACCTCTCGTCTTCCGGCCGGCTTGTGGGGCCCTTTTTTGGGGCTTAGCGCTGAGAGTTTGATAGGATTTAGGGGCCCTAGGGTTCCGACGGACTTCTTTTTGAAAGACGGCTTCGGAGTTTGGTTCTATGTTTTGAGGAGTTTGGGGTTTTTTAGGGTTGAGGCTTTTGTCGGGAGTTCCGTATGGGTTTTATAGATAGGGCTTCCTGCAGGGGTTCCATGAAAGGTTCGGGCTAGCATCGAAGGGTTGGGGGTCTGTGGGAGCATCATTAACAGTGTTTACATACAACCCATACAATTAGCAATCGTATACCCGAAAACCCTGTCTAAATATGAAGGCTTATCCTTTACAGCCCTTGTAGAACCCTCAGAACAATCCTCAAATGAACGCTTCAAGGAACGCTACTCCAAATAAGGATTGGGTCGAAGGCGGAGGTTCAAAAAGACTCTGACCGTCGGTTTCCCGAGGCTAGCATCAGCAGCAATGACGTTGATGATGTCAGTTAGCAGCGATGATGTTGATGATGTCAGTCGCAGTGATGATTGTGATGAAGACTACGATAATGACAGTGGTGCTGCTGCGTATGAACATGCCAGTGATGAGGGCATTCAGGCAGTAGACCATGCCTACTTTCGACGACGGTGATGATGGTGGGTTGCAGTATGACGAAAACGACGACTACGACCGCGATTGACATTGGCGGAGGCGACCATGAGCAACCAGCGAGTCGTCGTCGTAGTAGTACCGAGGTAGGTAGCAGTAGTGTCGGTAGTGGTAGTAGTAATAGAAGAGCCTTAATCATTACAACAGGGTTTTGGGGCCCATTATACAGCAATTATAAGGATCCTGCAAAATAGCGTAGGTAATCATTTAGGCCCCTATGGTCGTAGTAGTAGAAGCACAAGATGAGCTGAGGCACAACTACTTCAGGCGTCAGGGGGTCGACGGCCGGGGCCCGAGACAGCAACGTTTCAGCCCGTAGCGGATTCGTTAGGATCGACTTCGGCTCTAAATCCTAGGGCCCTAGGGTTCCTTTAAAAGGGGACTTTAAGGGTTAGTATGAGGATCTATAAGGGCACTGTAATATCTGAAACATTTTACATTTTTGGTTCCTACACTCCTTCAGAAACAGCTAAAATTAGAATTTTAAAGGTTCAATATAGGCCTTAGAGTATCAGCCCAATCTAAACTCGTGTAGCTTCTGTGAGGGAGCCAAGAAAGTGCGAGAGTAAGCCCGTGGCTGTCCTGGAACGACAAGGTTTAGGGGTTCAGGGTTTGTAGTTTCGGGGTTTGAGGGTTAATGGGCATTCCATCGTGCACCTGATTTCGCTGGGACTGTTCCTCAGCAAACTCGCTGCTCATGCAGCTCCAGTTGTGCAAAGCAAGGTCGACTTAGAAACAAGCCAGCAACCGGCCCATCCAGAATCCAGAGTCCGGAAGCTGCACCAGGGAGTTCCTGAACATCTTTAATGCACAGGTGTAGACTCTACGAAACCTTCAGGAAAACCTCCCCACCAAGAAAACGAACGCAAGGCTTGATCAGCGTCCTCGGGAAAGATGATCGGTATCCGCCTGTCCTCAAAGATCGCCCTGCGCCGCCCTAAGGGTAGGGTCAGGTGTAGTGCGCCCTAAGCGCTCAACCTTTAACCCTCAACCCTGAATGGTAGAGTTTGGGGAATATTAGAGGCTCCTCTTTGCGGGGATCTATGTCGAGGTGGTATCGGAGTTCTTCATCTTGTTTAGGGCTGTTCAAGATTTGGGGTTCCCTCGCTGTGGTCGTGTTGATTCCGGGACTGGGGCCTCTAGGGTCTAGAGGACGACGAACGAAACTCGGAAGTTCAGCTCGTATTCTTTTCGAGTTGAGGGTAGTTATTGCTTTTTTGGATGCTTTCACTGGTTGTATAGGAATTTTGTGTGGGAGTACGGCTGGTCTAGATGTTTCGACAATGTTGGGGTTTAGGGTCTAGGGTACCCTAAACTCAAAGTCGATGGGTTCCAAGAAGCGTTGGCTGCTGATTAAGGCTCACCCTTCCATGTTGACCGTCGTCTCAGGCCGTTTCAGGCATCTCTAGTATACTGCTCATCAAGCTTTTCGGCGGGCCTGCCAAACCTCTGTAGACTGCAGATTCTTATCAACACCTGTTCCAGTGCTTCGGCTTTTTTTGTGTGGAGACGGATTTATTGATCAGGGTTCTCTAAACTTTGAACCCCAGACCTTGTGGCAACCCTTATAGTAACCCTAGGTACTCTTAAGGGAATTACACCAAACGTGGGACCCCTCGAAGGTGTGAAGAACCTTGACTTACGGCGGTGGCTTTTGGTATTTGTTTTAAGCTGGCCTTCGTGGGATGATGCGGCATGGTTTCATAGGGGCTCTAACAAGGCCCCTTCCAGCGAAGCTCTGAACCAAGCCAGGTTTATTGCGAAGTAAAGCCGGTCTTGGCGACGTGGTCGAAAGGATAAGAACTCCCCAAGCAACGGGCTTTTTGGGAGCCCAAAAAAACCGTAAAAGCCCCCTGAGCCCCTACACCCCGAGGTGCCTTTGTGGTTGCGGCTGGAGAACAACATCATCGAGAAGCCCGAGGAGCCTTGATTTTTGGGGGCTTTTTATGGGGCTTTGGGCTAAGGGTTTAGGGTTCAAGAGTGAGGGTTTGGGGTTTTGGGGTTGAGGGTTTGGGCTCAAAGTTTAAGGGCTTGGGTTAAGAAAGGATTCGCCAGCCTTGTCGACACCCTCTAGAATCCCCATGACCCTCTTCAAAGGAGCTTTCTGAGTTCATGGTCTGCTCCTGCATCCTTCACCCTACTTAGAGGATCACGGGACTTCGTAACTTGGCCCCTCTTGGGGTACTTATAACCATACTTACTAAGTGCCATGATCCTCCAAGTAGGCCCCGAAACCCCGCAGGCTCCGATGTTTTTCGGCCCAGGAGGGTCCAATTAAGGGTTGATGGCTTGAGACGTGACGATTGAGGTGCTCCGGTAGATATAAGGGTTGTACTCTATGACTTTGTGAACGAAATAAAGAATCAGGGAGATGTGCTAGAGTCCTATTCTAGCGGCCTATGGAGTCAACCGCGATGCAAACTTGCAGCAAAGTTCTACAGAGACCCTCACTCAACCGAATCACAAACCCTTATACACATGGAGACATCTTGCACCCATGTTCGGAGTCTGTTTGATGAAGGCGGGGTTTTACGGTGTGCGACAAAGCCAGCAGAACTCTCCGCGGTTCATAGGGATTTAGATGTAAGCTCCTCTATGGGAATTCAGATTTCGTTTTGTACGAATTTTAGAACCTTAAGGCAGGGTTTGTTTCTCTGCGATGTAAGGAAATCGAAGGTGTAGAGTGTAGCCCTAGGAGCTTACATAAGGCTCTGCTGTAACTTCCCGAAATGTCGAGAACGGCAAGTTCAAGAACACCGAAGACTGGCGCATGGCTCTCTTGGTTAGTTCAACATGGTAAAGGGTTGAATGCCGACCTAAACCGTGAACCCAGAACCCTCTGCAGCCACTGCATTAACAGAAACACCTTCAGAGCTTAAGCCAACCCTGACAAACATGCACTAGGCCCGCACCCATCAAGCCTATCAGAAGAACTTTTGCATACGCCTTGGACGCAGTATTCCGCCTAGAGCGAACGGTTTTGGCCTTCGGGTTTACCGTGACTCCCCCCAAACTTTTCAGCCGAAAGCCAAAACTGCCTGCAGGAGCTCTTCAATGAGTTAAAGGAAAAGATGAAGAGCAGGAGGAGGCCACAAGACCTCACACCCCCAGCTTGTGCGGTGAAGGTCGGGTTGGCATTTGGAAGGGCTCGTGACCTAAAGCGTATTGATGATAGGACTGCCGTCCTCATGGGCGCGAGGGTTTTGCTGGGATGAAAATGGTAAAAAAACAACTTGGGGAGCCTGAGGAAAAAGGGTGCTTGCGGATTATCTAGGCCCCTTCCGTTGGGGTTCAGGCAATGTGTTTCAAGCGCCTGGAGTCTCTGGGCCTCGGGGACTTCGTATCCAGATAGAAAAGTAGACTAGGGTTTGGGGATAGGGTAAGACGTAGAGTCATGACTAGGAAGGAAACCCAATCAGGGTACCTATACAACAGAAAGCTTGATGAGGTTGCTTAATGATAACAAAAACGTCGTAGATCGCCAAGTCCTACTCTAACTATGAAAGGCCCTGCACCAACCCCAAATCCGAAACAATCCGGCTAGCCAAGTCCCTCGAACCGACAAGTAGGTCAGTGACGAGTCTTCTCGCGGTAGCCTGATTTCGGCATGAAAGGCATTGACCCATTGGACGGCTTGGCATCGGGGCAGCGCATGTGGCAACAGATCCTTAGAGAGTGCCCCCCGGATTGCTGAAACTTCAATCGCCAGAAACCAGTATATATATATATATATACACATTGAAAGACTCTGTTGTGCAGGCCGCCCCAGGGCGCCGTGCTGATTTGCGAGGCGCTGTGGGACACCATTCAAGCTTCAAGTGAGCCTCGCTGAATGGGGTGTGTCATGTTTGATTTTGAGATTTCAAGGTTTAGGGTTTTGGGTGATTCTTCTGGCCTCTTCCATACAGCCCAAGGCTCACAGCAAACAGACTCCTTTGTTCGTGCTCCTGGTTCGCGCTATGGCTGGCACGACGTTGGGGTCGGTCCTGTCACGGGCAATGTCAGTAGGCGTGCGAGAGCTTGTCAAAGCACCCGGTTTCGCAGATAGCAGCAATGCCGCTCTTAGTCCGCACCCCATTGCCATCGTTTGAGGTTGCGAGCTTGGGCTGATGCTGCAGATGATGATGTCGATTTTTGATGTGTTGTCGACGGTGTTGACTGCTGGTGCTGCTGCTTCTGCTGCTGCTGGTGGTGGTGGCGGCGGCGGTGGTCGTATGGAGACTTTGGCGATCCTATGTGATTCGGTCTGTCTGTAGGGAATTATGGCGGTGGCAGATTGCCATGACAATGCTCTCATGTCTTTCACAGCTGCTTTCTTCTTTATCATGAACAACGAAGCAATAAACCCAAACCCCACTGTCTCAACACAAACATGACGCCCTGGACACGAAGCCCTACACCTATAACCCTAGACCCTAAACCCTAAATATTGCGCGCAGGTCTATCGTGAGGAGAACGGCTGTGGTGCTGGACACTGCGTCAACTGCAGGACGCCATGGGTTGAGAGTCGGCATGCTTTTCCCTGACGTTCAGGTTTAAGGTGTAGTAGGGTTTAGAGTTTAGAGCAGGGCTTTGAAGCTTGAGGGGGCGGGAGAGCTCGGAGCCTACGGGCCCAAGCCACCTAAGCTCTAAGCCCTAGCCCCGACGCCTAAATCCTCACCCCAAACCCCAAACCCCTCAACCCCTAAACCCCAAATCCCTAAACCCTAAACCAAAACTCTAAACCCCAAACTTTTAAACCCTAAACCCTAAACCCCAAATCCTGAACCTGAAGGGGTGTTTCGGCCTCCGACTCCATGCACTGAAACTCGAGGTCGGCATAACTCACTTCAGGGTTTAGGGTTTGGGGGTTTGCGGTGTAGGGTTTAGGGTTTACACTGCTGCTCCTCAGGGTTCCTAATTAGCGGGGGCCTTCCTACTAGAGGGGCCTCAATAGTTAACTATTAACAAGCCTATGTTGGAGGTTCCTTATTCAACCTATAATGGAACCGAAAACCTATTCTACTTTTGTATCTGGTAAGACGCCTGATGCAAAACCCGACAACAGGAGCCCTGTCAACATAGACCGCAACTCAGTACACCTTGTCCCTGAATAGTCAAACCGAAGACAGTACCACGGATGTTAAAGCCTATTAAAGCCTAGTATATTCCCCAAACCCTAGCCCCAAACCGTCTTGAACACTAAGCTTATTAAACAAATATCTAAAGCGCTGAACCCCGAACTGCAACATGCATTCTAGCTTAAGTGGACGACCAACCCTACCAGAATGAGGCTTTATGTACATACACAATATGGGGGCCGGGCATAGTATTTCAGCATAAAGCCCTAAACCTCCAAACCCTAAACCCAAAGCCCTTAAACTTTCAACCCCTACGCCCTAAACCCCAAACCCTAATGCTCTGAAAACCCCTAAAGCCTAACTCAAAGCCCCCAAATGGAACCTGGGTTTGCTAGTGCGGGTCTTGGACTTATGAGTTGCAGGAGTTTGGAACTGACAAGTCAGTTTTTGGAGATTAATGTAGCGGCGCAGACGATCAGTTCATATGTGAAAAGTCAGGCCCACGTAAAAGCCTTAGTAACGCGAAAGTCAAACCCTGCAAAAATTTACAACATCCTATTTACAGCCGTTACAATCCTGTAACACCCCACGAAAAAGCGTCGTAGTCCTTTTATAAGCCCTTAACCCTAAAACCTTAAACCCGAAATCCTAAACCCTAAACCCCAAGCCCTTACCCCTAAACCTTAAACCCGAAATCCTAAACCCTAAACCCCTACATTCCCACCCGGCCCCCTTGGGCCGTTCCTACCCATAACTGGGTGCCCAGACACTGAAGATGCTGGCATCTGGGCTGTCAAGCGCTCCGCCTCGCCGCCGGCCAGCCACAGCTGGGCCTAATATTCATTACCTTGCCCCCACAAGGTCCCGGGCCCTCAGTCCTAGAAGCAAATCAGCAAAGTGGTGCTTTCTGGGCCCCTGACCCCCCCCCCCCCCGGCCCTGGCCCCGGCCTCGGCCCGGCCCTTGCCCTGCCTGGCCCTGTCCCTTTCTTCGCGGAGTGGGAATTGAGGGCGTAATCCCTGAACCCTAACAGGAAATGGTTTGGGTGGTTGCCAGTGGTATCATCACAGCGGGCGGGTTTTAGAGAACTTCCGGTTTCACCGAGTTCTAGGACACAAGCAAGGAACGTCGCTTGACGCGTAATATGCCGCCACCCACAAACCCTGGTGTGAGGTGGCGCCATCCTAGCATGGATTGCCAGCCACTGCGCAAGAAGACACCCTAAACCCTAAGCCCTCGACAGTAAACCTTAAGCCCGAAATCCTAAACCCTAAACCCCTGAACCCTAAACCCGAAGCCTTAGACCCTAAAACCTTAAATCTGGTGCTCCCGCTTCTTCCTTTTCGATTCGGGGCGCGGTAGTTGTGCCGAACCGAAGGGCCTTGAAGCCGAACACTTGAAAAACCCTTTAGAGTTGGGGGCCTTAGTAATTACCTATACCAGTTTGGGGGTTCCTTACAAAATTTCCCCCAAACCCAAGTCTAGCTGTTACGGCCCCTGTGTCAGAGTTCGGGGTTTGCGTTTCCGGTTTTGGGTTCGGCTTCAGGAGGGCAGTTGCGGGAGCACTCGGACACACGCCCGGCCCTGAAACCCTGGACGCGAAATTCTGAAACACTGAACCTTCCTGAACCCCAAACCCTAAACCGTTATCACAAGAACCCCCAGCGCCCGAACACCCGAGAGTTTGGGCTTCGAAGCCACGCTGCGCCGGCCAACGAAAGCTTTCCCTAAAGGCCCGAAGCCCTAAACTCCAAACTCGGAAGGCCGGGTTGGTGCCCCATACTTCACCTCACGTGCCTCAGCTTTCCTAAGGTTTAGGGTTTCAGGGTTTGGGGTTTAGGGATGAGGGGTTTAGGATTTTTGTGGTTTGGGGTTTAGGGATGCTGCCCCGCAGCTCAATGCCGTGAAGCTCTTAGCTTAGAGCCCTAAGCCTAAGCTCTGCGCCCTGATGCCATTAACATGTCTTGGGGCTCTCAGTGAGGAGTTTCTTTGGAGCGTCGGTGCAAGTAGGTAGTTTGCCCTGCCAGGGCCCAGCCAGAAGTCCCAAAGCTTCGAAAGCACAACACCAGCGTACGATTGATGGGCGAAATCCCGCAATGTCCAGAATGAGACATCAAGACCCGGTAGGATCTCTAACAAAAACCCCTTATCCTCTACAGAGACCATTGCCATTGCCTTCTCTTTCTCAGCAATGTAGCTCTGGAGCTGAGGTTCCCTTGCCTAAACCCTCAACCTTAAACCGTGTATTATGACCTCACCAGCACAAGCCGGATTCCTAAGCCTCCCTGAATCCCACACCCTTAGCCCCGAACCCAACATCCCGAGCCCATGAAAGCCCCTTATAGGAACCCTTAAGAGCCCCCCAAAAAAGCAGAGCAAGGTACATCTTATAGGAACCCTTGCAGAGATCCCTTAAGCCCCCTAAAAAAAAAGAAGCAGAGCAAGGTACATCAAGAACCAGGGGCAAACTGGTCGGAACATCCCGAACGAAGCATCGGGGTGGGGCAGCCGGCAGGGGGAGGCCACGGTGGCTTTCGGGTGGGGCCTTGCTACTTTAGAGTAGGGGTTCCCTTTAAAGGGAAGAGTAGGGGTTCCCTTTAAAGGGATCCTTAAAGGCATACTATAAGGGATCTATGAGGGGCTTACTAACATAGGGGGCCTTATTCTTTAGAATAGGGTTATGGGGGGCCCCATATACTTCTTTGTTCTCATAAAACACCCAAAGAAGTATTGGTACCCATTCAGGCCCCTATACTAGGGTTTAGGGTTTGGGGGTTAGGGTTCAGGATCCAGGGTTCGCGTCCAGCTTCGTTTGGTATTCTGAGACTCTTCCGTACGTAGTTTTTCACAAACTCGGAAAGTAGGGATTTCAGAATGCTGTTGTGTTTGATGTGTGAAGTCTTTAAAGGTCCTGGCTTGGCGTCGGTCACAGGTGTCGGGTCGGGTCAAGGAGCTGGAGTAGTTGTGGGGGTCGGTGGAGTTGTTCCAGGGTTTGTGTCTCAACAGCCTTTCCTTCGTCCCCAAATCATATAACGGTACTCTGATGTACCCCATGACCCCAGTACGGGAACCCAGAGACTCCAATATCTCTTCATTAGGGAGTTTACCTTAAAATTAGAGTAGGATCCCTAATATGACGGGATTCTGGAGTGTCTGGGAACCCCCCCCAAAAATGCACAAGCACCATCGTCTCCCCATCGGCAGTGCGCAGGACGCAGCCCTAGAGTTGTAGCGCTGCCATTTGGCAGGTAAAAGGCCTTCACAAACCCTGATAGACCAGAATTCAAAACACCCTTCAAGTCCGAACTCTAAACCGCACGCTTGGTGGTCAAAAACCTATTCAAGCAGTTAGTTAACATAGATGATGATCCAAAATCAAGTGCATATCATGGACCAAAATCAGAAGGAATCTAAAGAGCTATGAAGCTGAAACCCCTCGGTCTTCATAAAGCACGAAAGCCCTTGCAGCCTCTAACTCGCGGGAGCAACCTCACAACCTCAAACCGGAAAACTCAGATCCCTTCAGGGTTTAGGGTTTAGTGTTTAGGGTTTGGGGTTCAACCCTACACCCTAGAACCCCTAAGCCCTCAACCCTAAAAACCCTCAAGCAGTGAACCCCAAACATCCTCAACCCGCAAAAAGGTGCACCCTAGAAGGGTTTAGGGTTGAGGCATTGCGCTGATCCCGAATCCGAAACCCTGAGGCCTCTGCAACTCTAGAACCCTTGTGAAGCAGCTTCTTGTGACTCACACCCTAAACCCTAAAATCCTACACCCTAAACCCCAAACCCTAGTCCCCAAATCCTAAACCTGAAAACCTAAGCCCTAAAAAACTGTTAAACAAAAACCGTGGCATCTAGCGAACCTAGGAGCGGTTCACGGGTAGCGATAAATGAGATTACAAAATTAAATCTGTAACCCAAAGTAGGGGACTTATAACTCCACTTGCAACTACAAGCAGGAGCGGTACTGGTGCATCGGCGAGCCTCCGCCCTCGTCTGTGCCCCGGCCCACGGCCCCGGGGCCCGCGATGGGCCCGGCAGGAGTTCCAGGCCAGCGTTCGTTTGCTGATAGGGTTTATGGTTTTGGGGTTTAGGGTTCATGGGCCTCTAAGTACACCCTGAAACTTGTTCCCGTTCCCGAAACTCTAAACCCAAGAAGCTCGAAAACCTGGTTCAGACACTTGTTCCCGTTGCCCTAAACTAAACCCTAAACCCCCCAAAAGCCTGCTTCTGAATTCAGACATCGCCTTACAGCCTGAGCCTGCCTCCGGAGAAGCCCCAATCTTGGGCTTTGCAGGTTCTCTAGGGTTTTCTGGGGGTTTACAATTGAAATAGGGGTTGGTACGGGTACTTGAGGGGTGTTGTAGGGTTTCGTAAGGGGTTTAAACTGTTTTTGTACTCGGGTTTCTGAAAGCAGCCTGGCTATTGATACTGTTTCCGGGTATGTTCTACTACACTGTAGCCTGTAATGACAAAGTAGGAACTATGCTATACGGGGACATAATTTCGATTACGTGCCTAAATGGTGTTTGAGCGTTGCGCACAACCGTAAACTCGTAATCCTCAGACGACCTGATCCAACCCCAGACTGAGCCCTACACTCTGGGAAACGTAACAACCGTAAGCCCTCAACGCTAAACCCTGAAGCTCCAAGTCCGCACCTGAAAGCTTTACCCGAAACCTTGAGCGAGGCAAGGTGCCACCGCCCAAGCAGGACTGCCCCATTGGTGCCTCGGTGTTGGGTTTAGGGTTTGGGCCCAGGTGCTCTGGGAGAGACAGTGGGACAGAGAGAGACAGAGAGAGAGGGAGAGGCTGAGCGTGTGTATAGGGGTGTGGGTCGGGGCGCCGCGATAGCAACACCAAGTACACCCTAGGGCTCCAGTTACCTAAATAGTAGGTTTCTAACCGTATGGGTAGTTTTCATTTTGGGTAGACTTAATGTGAGGTGCCGTATTACATTAAGGACCCCAAAAAGGGACCCTAGTTTTGACAACCGCCCGTATAGTATGTAGGCCAGTAGCCGAAAATTTAGGTACCCAGACAGCCCCACTACCCCTTAATTAAGGAATATACCTTAAACTATAAGGGGGGTTCATATTATGATTTAAGCTATATTCCTTATTTAAGGGGCATTGGGCTCTCTGGGTAACTGGAGAGCAAGGGAGAGTCTTTCGAGGCATGGGTTGCAACCTCGAAGTAGTTCTCTGTTTCTCCATGGTCCGCCAGTATGTAAGCCCTGTTGTAAAAGTTTTACTGGGATGTTAGGGTTTAGGGTTTGGGGTTGCTTCCACCGGTTTCAGTGTTCAGGGTTTTTGGATTCTTGGGTTTTAGGGCCTTGGGAGTGTAGATTCCGTGCTTAAACCCCACACTCTACAAGTAGAGTTAAAGACTTAGAGCATGCATCCAATGCCCTGTCGAAGGGCTTCAAGTCGAGAATCCACGGCTCTATAAATAAATATGTTTGTTTTTTGTATAGTTATAGTTTTCCTTTTTAGCCGTATATATATATATATATATATATGTATCTACATTGTCCTTTATATCAAAAAACATATAGAGCTGGTACTTATAGGGTTTGGGGTTAAGTTTGATTCTCCCCTTGGCTCATAGCCTTCCTCCCGCGAGCGTCGATGTGCTGTAGGCTTTTGGAGTTCACTGCCCTGGCTCAGCACGACCCGGTTCTACAGAGGGTTTCCTTTTGAGGGTTTAGGGCCGAGGATGTAGAGTTTCGGGTGGCATATGTTCGATGCATTGCACCTCGAAGGTTTGCTTACAATGTTCCGCCATGCTGGCTAGGATCTCCAGTAGTACCCTTATTCCCTTTTTGTAGTCCTAGGTTCCATATAAAGTTACCCAATACCAAAGCCCAGGTGCAATGCCACCAGCGATGCAGGAGACATACGGGTAGGGCTGCAGGGAGTAAGACAATTGTGTTATCAGGGCCCTTCAGAACCTCAGCAAAATTCTTTGAAACACTACTAAGCCCTGGAAAAATTTATAAGAACCATATAGCGCTCTCGCAAAAAGCCCTACTCTACTTGCGAAAACCCGAACGAAGCGGAAGGAGTCTCGGGGTGAGCCGTTGATGAAGGCACCCCCGATCGGCATCTCGCAGACGTTAAGGGTACTGTATTACAGGGTTCGTTGACGGGGTAGCGGAAAGGGCTATTATCACCAGTAATCAGTAATATTCAAGAACATTACTACCACGACCACTGCTACTATTACTGCTACCATTGCTGACACTTCTAGTACAGCTGTTGCGGCTACTACTGCTGCTGCTGCTGCCCCTCCTGCTGCTCCTGCTGCTGCTACTACTACAGTACTGCTACTACTGCTGCTGCTACTGCTACTACTACTACTACTACTACTACTACTACTACTACTACTACTACTACTACTACTACTACTTCCTGTTTGTACTGCTAACGTTACTCCTAGTTCGGTCGTAAAGTAACAAAGAGCAGACATAGCAAGAATCAGCAATATTCAGAATGGTTCCCATGAGTAAGACTGAGGCTAATGTTGCAGCATTGCTACCGTGAATGTTAGAATTTTTATTGTTATTATCCGTGTTGTCATGGGTACTGTTATGATTTTTGTTGACTATTATCAGTGTTGTCACCATTACTGTTGAATGATCAGGGAGAGTTTTGGGCTTTAGGCTCGCTGTAACAAGACGTGATAGAAGAGCGTAGGTGTTCAAGACAAGGGGCTGGAGCTTTCTTGTTCCGTTGTCTGGTTTCGGTACATGGCGGGATCTGAGTTTCAGGGTTTCGGAGTTTCAGAAAGTAAGGGGCACAGACTGTGGTGTTTAGGGTTTGAGTGGCGGTCAAGGGTTTAGGGTTTCGGGTGCGTTGGTTTGTTTTTGGGGGTTTTCAGGTGGGTTTAGGGTTAATGCAGAAGAATAGAGATGCTTTCATACCGAAGAGGAAAGAATGACAGTAAGGTGAGGTTCATCGCGCATGCTGAGAGCATGCCCCATTTCCCGCCACGCTGCAACGGCGCCCCCAATCCCTAATATCTCAAAGCCTCAGCGGGCCAAAGCCGTGAACCCTTGATACAACACTGTAGAACCTGTATAGAACTCCTTAAGAAGTCTTTAGAAGCCTTCACACAAACCTTTTGAATTGTGTTCGAATCCCTCGACTCCACACCAAGGGAAACCCAGCGTCAAAGCCTCTTGGCTTCACACGGGTTGAAATCAGGGATGTTTTAAAGGTGTTTGTCTTCTGGGACGGTTCAAATGTTTTTCAGGGTTCTATGAGTTTGATATAAGGGTTTGTAGCGGTGTTACGGACTTTTTTGATGACGTCAGGTTTTTCAGTAGGGTTCTTGTTTACGGGCGGGGGGGGGTGTGAGGGCATGGATTCCCATCTCTTCCAAAACAATGTCCCTACTCCTCAGGCCACCATATGGGTGGATGTCAAAATGATGGTCCTTTTTTGGGTATCCTAAATATTCGGTGCCGTACAATATAAGCGACCCAAAAAGGGACCATTATTTTGACAACCACCCATATCAGGTCTTGCTTTGGGTTCAGGGGATTCGAGGCCACCCCTAGGAACCCTCAGCCCTAAGCCTTAGCAAACGCCCAGCCGACGGAAAAGAGGGGAAAAATAACATTCCCATGGCAGTCAGCAGTATCTTGAATAATGGAGCAGGTAGCAGGGGGCCTGTCGATATATGCACAGGAAGACGTTCATGCAATTGGAATTTTTCCTCCAGCAGCGTACATTCCGGCCGTCGATGCCAGATCCTGAATCCTTTTTTTCCGTGAGTTCCATGTGCCGCAGGTCTCCAAGCCGAGGCATCTACACTCTAAACCCTCAGCGCTAAACCGTAAACCATTCCTTGTCCGGAAACCCGGAACCCGAAATCCTTGTAAACACCTAAACCGGGCTCACGGTTTCGAGGTATTCAGCGGTTTCAGGGTTTTTAGCTTAGGGTTTCAAGTTGAAGCAATATTGTAGGGCTTGACAGCCAACAAACCGGACAGGCAGTCCCGCCTGGGTTTGAAAAGACGCCAAGTGCCTCGGAGCCAGTGAAAGCTAGTGCGCGTAGGGTTTAGGGTTTATTGTTCGGCCGCGAAGCCGTGAATCCCAAGCTGTTGCATCCTCACGAACTGGAACTCAGTCGCTCCGTTAACCCGAAAATGTTCAGTAAATCAAAGCGAATGTACTCAGAAGCAGCAAGATTCAGTAGTCAGGAGGGTGTTTGCCTTGGTTTATAAGGGACTTATGGGGTTTTCAAGCCGGGGTTGTGTTCAAGCAATTTCCGGGCTTTTCTGGTTCTGCGCATTTTCGCTACAAAACCCCAATTCTTCTGAGCCTTGGGCCTCAGAGTTTCGAAGGTCTGGGCTGTTGGGATGTTGTTTGTCTAGGGGTATACCCGACGCCTGATCTATGCCCGAAACTTCGAGAATCCCTGAAGCCTCGATGCCGGTAACTTGCAGCAAAACTGGGGTGACACTCGGGGATTTGCAACTGAGCTGGACGTTTTTTTTGGATCACAGGGCTAGAAACTGAGGTAAGGCTTTCAGGTAGGGTTTGGTGAGAGGGTCAAGGCCTCCTTCGGGACCTTTTTGTGATTATGTCTCAAGACTATACCTCAACCCCTGAAGACGAAAAAGGGCCTGGTACGATGAGAGCACAGTCTCTGAACTCTTAAAGCCTTGAGACTTACTATGGGGATCGAAATAGTTATCAATAATCTTCCAGTGAAGTCTCTATACCATTGTGGCCCGTGGCAAAATGGATCCCCAAACCCTACTCCAAGTATTAAGCCCCCTATAGTCTACAGCCGTTTCTTAGTAAGTCTTATAGTTTCCCTTAAAGCAACGGTTAAAGCAATCCTTGAACAAGCCCTGTTCGTATCATTGCAGCCCCTCTACCGTAGGACCCTAAACCCTAAACCCTAAGCTCTAAATCCTTTTTTTTCCCTAAACGCTTTGTGCAGTGCACGCCACCATACATCCGAGCCCGACACCCGCATGCAAAGCCAAGAGAACTCGAATCCTACAACCCTATACTGTAAACTGTAGGGTTCAGGTTTAAGGGTTCATGATTATGATCTAGGGTTTACGGGCTCGGATATAGGTACACTCTTCGCCTTCCTTTTTGCATTCATTGGTCCTGGGGGTTCATCCCACTAGCTCGCTGAGGTGCAGCGATGCCACCGCAGCCGCCGCCTGCGGTCGCGCCGAACCTAAGCCGCTGGTACGCAGAGCTGGTTGCAGAATGACATTAATGACATTACGATCCGTTCTGATACTAGTAATTGCAGTAGAAACAGCAACAGTAATGGTCACAGCAAGAAGCCGTAGCAGCATGGATAGTAGCAACAACTTGAGACGATTGTGTTGTGCTTCTCGTGCTGGTGCGATTGAAGATCAAGAAGCCAGCCGAAACCTTGAGTAAATCCCTTTCAAACACTTCCCCTCTTCAGGCATTACCTCTACATCAACGGATAGCCAGGCGTGGTTCGTGGGTTTGGGCTTACAGGTTTACGTGAAAGATTGTGGGGCTTTGCGACTTTCTCGATTTTTTGGTGCTGTTACTGCCGAAGTTGCGCTGGTTTTGGGTGCTGGGTTTAGGGTCCTGTAGGGGTTGGAATGGGGCCAGGCGGCGCCAGCTCGGTCTCTGCCGAGCTCGCCACCAAAGCCGGGGTCCCGGTGGAGTTCATGGTTTGATAAGGCTTTATAAGCATGTGCAGTGTCTCTTTGACACTGTTTCGTGTTTACCAAGAATTTACAGCGATGTGGGATTCGGGAGGTAGTGCTAGAGTGCTTAGGATGTTGAGTGCAGGATTTCTGGTGCCACAGTTACGCCTTGCTCTGAGGGATTTGGCCCTCGCTTCAACCGTAACACCGTCAACACTCAAAGCCTGATCCTGATTTCCGTAGTGGTAGTGGTAGTAGTAGTAGCAGTAGTAGCAGTAGTAGTAGTAGTAGTAGTAGTAGCAGGAGTAGTGGCAGTAGTAGTAGTAGTAGTAGTAGCAGGAGTAGCCGCCACGAGTGATCAAGCGGCCGCGCAGTTGAGAGGCTTTCGAACAGGCTTGGGGCGCAACTTCTGTACTAGAGGTCCCGACCAGGCTCCTTTTCCGAACAGTAAGGGTTTGTGCCTACTCCGAGCCATGTGCCTCTCCGTTTTGCTACAGGTGCCGCTTTGATCCGCCAGGTCCCAATTCCTGGGCCCAGACTGTGTTTCATTCAAACATTGCATCACTGGGTAGGCGGTAGGGTTTCCACTTCCGCGCAGTGGAGGGAGTCATTAGGCTTCGGTCTCTTGATGAAAGCAGCGGACGGCGCTGATGCTTACAGCGCACTCACACAATTTTTCCTATATCAGAAAGAACGACATGACACTTGTCTGCCGACTGGGAGCTCTACAGCGAAGCCGGAAAGAAGCGACGCAGTCGCGGAAAGACAGTTCAAGGCACAGCTTCACAACTCGGCATATGGCACAGCCTCTCGCCGCGCTGGACAGCAAAGACGCAATGTCGGGCTCCTTTCGTGGAACAGTGGGTGGCTAAACAGGTACCAAAGCACGACTTGCTGGTCAGCGTTGGAGTTCTCAACCCTTCAGTGGCTTCCCCTCTGGCACGGCTCTACGTGTGACACTCGAGTTTCGCCTGAGCCCAAGCCTGGAGCTAGGTGCTTTGCGCCGACCTACACGGCAGGAGGAAGCGACGCAGTCGCGGAGAGTCAGTTTGACCCAGCACCCTGGTACGGCTCCACGTCACATCTGGGTACAGTCGCAAAGCGGTCGCGCTTGCTGTGCCAAGGGTGGCGGGCTTCGGCTACGGCCCTCCCAGTTGTGTTCGTTACTGTCCTGTTACTGACGAGGTCAGGCAGTGCTAGGAGTGACGGCTTATGTGCTTTGGTCAACGAGCAGCCTTCCTTGCGGCCCATCGCTGGCAGTCCGGAGTTACCTAGTGTGGGACGCCACTAGACGGGAACTTTGGGAGACGGCTCTTCTGAGTACGACCCACCGGCTGCCAATTCGTGAGTATTGGACGCAATGACTCACACTGAGGGTGACGGAAGTTGCAAAGACAGTCAAGTGAACTGTCCAGTGAAGCAACTGCTCAAGCCATAGGCAGCTCTTTTCCATAGGGGCTGATTGGCCTTGGAAATCAGGATTCGTTCTCCTTTATCCTTGCTTTTAGCGGTTTCTGTGTTTCGTTTTACTTCACGGTTGGTGGCTAGCACGAGGCCTCGGAGCAAAACGTGCCACTGGCCTTGCTCCAAAAACGGATGAAGGAGGTACCTGCGATATTCGCATGGGCAGTCCCCTCGTGCCGCCTGCCACAGCCTGTGTTCATGATCGTATCGGATTTCAGGCCGCTTAGCCTCTGTTGAAGGCCGGCTGCCCGGCCGCAAGCACAGCCTCAAAAGCGTGCTGAGGAGCAGCTTTTCACTTTTTCTGGAACGCCGGTGCCGACATCTGCCTTAGGGGTGGGTGCTGGCCCAAAATCAGCGGGGCAAGAATTCAGAACATGGGTGCCTGTGCGCGGGAAGGCCGGACCCCACAACAGGTGGGCATGGCCCGCCCCGCGTCAAGGCCAAGAGTGTCTTGAGCACTCGCAGGCCCTCCACAGGCTTTTTAGGCTCAGGCTCATTTCGGATTGGCTTTGCTCCTTTCCTTGTTTTGGTTTATGCTGTGGGTTTATGGGTTCTTTTTTTGCGCTTGCCATTCAGAATCGAGCCGAAGTCGGTTTTAACCCATTAGTGAGTGCCAAAGCGGTAATCGCCCGCAAAGCGCAGAGCACGCTCGCGTAGCGTTCAATTGAAAAAAATAGTAGCAGGAGTAGTAGTAGTAGTAGTAGTAGTAGTAGGAGTAGGAGTAGGAGTAGGAGTAGGAGTAGGAGTAGGAGTAGGAGTAGGAGTAAGAGTGGTGGTAGCAGTAGCTTGTAGTACCAGGACCTCGGCTGTCGCCGCCTCCGCGGTGCATTCAAAGGCACCTCCCTCGATGCCAGCGATGCTTGCAAAGGCCCATCTGCCTGGGCTGTGTAGATCTGTATCTGTGCTGTTTTATGTACTGACAACTTGGATACACATGTACATATGGATACATATATATAGACATAGGTATACATGTAGTTCACATATTTTACAAATAAAGTTATCGACATAGACATGGCCTATAGGCGTAGACGTAGATATCGACACAGATGTAGCTGTACATGTAAATGTAGGTGTAGATTAATATGCGCGGATGTACCCCTATGTCTTTGTTGTTACTTCATTCGTTCTGACGACCACCATTCCTCTTGCCTGCGGGTCTGTGTGTCTGTCTGTGTGGCTGTGTGTCTATCTGTCTGTTTGTCTGCCTAGCATTTCTTACAGTACTTGGTGTGTTGGTCATTAGTCGCTGTGTGGTCTCCGAACATCTTCAATCTTCCTATTATCCTGCTCGCGGTTGTTGTTGCGCCAAATACTCGCTGTTGAAGCAACTGCAAAAAGCACTGTCATGTTACCTGCATCTGTTTATTTACTGCTCATGTTGGTTGTGCTGTCTGTTTCACCACACATCCGTTTTCACCTGCAGTGCTTACGATCCATCCACCGACAGTTGTGCGTTGCCAGTGTTGCTGTTATTGTCAACAGAAACGCTTATTGTGACAGTTAGGAATGCGGTAGTTCGAGCCGTCACGGTTATGGCAGCTGGTACTCCTGCTGCTGTTGCGGCTGCTACTGCTGCTCCTCCTCCTTCCTCCTCCTCCTCCTACTGATGCAGCACTACTATTTCTACTACTACTACTACCACTACTACTACCACTACTTCTACTTCTAGTTCTACTACTACTACTACTACTGCTACTGCTACTGCTACTGCTACTGCTACTGCTACTACTACAACTACTACTACCACTACCGCTGCCACTGCCACTACCACTACCATTACCACTACCACTACCACTACCACTACCACTACCACTACCACTACCACTACCACTACCACTACCACTACCACTACCACTACAACAACGACAACACCAGCAACAACAACTACTACTACTAGTACTGCTACTGCTACTGCTACTACTACTACTACTACTACTACTACTACTACTACTACTACTACTACTACTACTACTATACTACTACTCCTACTACTACCACTACTCCTACTCCTACTCCTACTCCTACTCCTACTCCTACTCCTACTCCTACTCCTACTCCTACTCCTACTCCTACTCCTACTCCTACTCCTACTCCTACTCCTACTGCTGCTGCTGCTGCTAGTATTTCTACCACGACTAGTACTACTAGTCCTGCTAGTACTACATTGCTATTCTTATTATTGGTACGCCTACTACTACTATCATCAGGATTACTACTACTTCTACTGTTCCCGCAGCAACTAAGCCCTTTGACCCAATCCTATCTCCTCAGCCCTATCACCCTTCTCAACGAACCTTCCTCTCAAGGGACCGCCACAGCTGCCCATACATGGGCTGCCGCCTCAACCCAACAGCCCGCCGCCGCAGGTGCCGCAGGGTTTGAAGGTTTCGGGTTTTTAAAAGTTGGAGGGACTTTATGTCAACCTGCAGCCCCTCAAAAAGGCACGGATCACGAACAGTGGTGATGTCGATGAGGTTCTCAACAGGGGAACACGAACGCTCCAAGTTGAGTTTCCAGCCAGACTGCATGGTGGCATGGTAACCATTTCATCCCAAGGCCCTAGATTCCATACCCCAAACCAAAGCGCATCGCACTTGTTTATTAAAAGGAAACTTGAACTCTAAACCCGTAACCTACGGTTGCTGGTCTGGAAGTCCGTAGCTTTGCATCCAGGAAGCCATTTCAATCCTTCAGTCTGAGACTTGGGGTTTTTAAAGGTTTGGGGCTAGGGGTGAAGGGATTCAGGGCCTTGGTTGGCTGCTGCTGCCTAGAACTTAAACTCAATAAGTTCGCACCCTAAACCCACAACTCCTAGACCCCCAAAGCCGCAAAAAACACCTTAAATCCCTAAGCTCCAAGCCCCAGAACTGGCAAGTTGGGTAGCAACACACGCTGGGCCCAGAACCCTGTGCCGCCGAAGTCTCTGCCGAAGCCCGAGCCCTAATCGGGGGGATGCCAGGGCTTCAAACGCGGGGTTCAATAAAGGTCCTCTGGAGGGTCCAATAAGGCTTTTGAAAAGGATGTGTTAAAGTGGATTCGACAAAGGCCTGGGTTCGCTTCGGGTTTTTGTTTGGGGGTTGGGGTTTGGGGTCATGGGCTTGGTTCTTTGGGTATAGAGTTTGTACATTCGTTGTGGGGACTAATGGCTTTCGGATGGGCTTTGCATAGCTGTTGATTCCGGTTTGGATGGGGTCACAATTTCGGGACGGCAGTTCTCAAGACTTGCGTCAAATCGAGGTCTGAACTGTAAGCCGGTGCTAGGAAGTGCTTTCCATATGGGTCTTTATAGCACGCTAGCACGCTTACTGTCACTTGGGCTTACATCCTTCGTGTAGCGTTCAGTCGAGGGGTGTGAATTTAGGGACCAGCTTGGGTTGAGTCTTTCTGGTTTTAGGTTTTAGGGTTGGTGGGTGGGACCCCAACCAACCCGAAAAGTGCAACACACACCAAGCTCCTAAAGACCCTAACTGACAGGGGTGCGCCCGGGGCAGCACAGGGCAAAATGGCACCGAAAGCGCTCCCGGTCGCTGCAAAGGCAGGGCGTTTCGGATGCGTTACTGGGGTTTTGGGGTTTGCGTTAGGTTCTTTCCCTTTGCGATCTACTTCCAGCTTTCGTGTTGGTCACACACACACACACTAGCACTCTCGGCCGCAGTTCGGGCTTATGATGTTGAGGGCCCCGCTTGAAGAGTCTGAATAATGATAGCATATGCCTCAAAACATCCCAACACCCAATTATAATCATCAAGGCGTTTAATTGTGTTAGAAAGCTTCGTCCTAAACCCACTAGCCCAAAACCCGGAACACATTACCAACAAAAAGGCCTCAACCCCCACATCCTGCACCGCCAAAACCCTGTCACGAAAGCTAGCTCTGTTGAGCTGGCGGGAGTTGCCCTTTAGCAATTTTCACTTGGTCTACCTTGTATTAAGGCACTAGGGCAAAACCAGGGCTTACACCTTATCAGGTGGGACGTCCAAGAGTTGAGGTGGGGGGGAGGGGGGGAGGGGGGGCCGCCCCCCCCCCTCACCTCGCTCATGAAGCATTTTGAAGAGACAAGGTGTGGTTTCCCCCCCCCCCCGCCCCCGCCCCACCTTTAAGGTTGCGGCGCGTGGGACAAGGTGGGGGGGGGGCCCCCCCCCCCTACCCACAGGTCCCCCCCCCCCCTTCCACAAGGTCCCTGAGTTTGCTTGTGTTTGAAGTTTGTCGTTTGCGCTGCGTCTTGGCTCCAGTTTTTTTTGGTCCTTCGCAGTGTCGTCCAACTGCGAGACTGCACCGAACATACCTTGTCGCCTCGGCCTCGTGTTCGACAGTACTCTCATGTCACATGCGTCCCCCGCCTTACTCAGCGCCAATTGCTCGCAGCTGCGCTTCCTCTCCCCTAGCTTTCGTGGCCCTCTTCTCAAGTAGAACCGTTTGTAGGGTCCTTGATAGTACCCTTGTGGAACTGTGGACAGCCTTATACGAAACCTTTCCAAGACTTCCCATTTCGAAGAGCAGAGCGGTTACGGTGTTAGACCACGGGGGTTTAGGTCCTAAAGGATTCTAGGGGTCGGTTGGGGTTTAGGTTTTTGGGGGTTGTAGGTACTAGGTTTTTTGGATTCTATAGTTGACGATGTTTCCAGCCAGACCCTAAACCCAGTACAGAAGCAAACATTTGCACGGTATTTGTTCCAAGGACCCCTAAATAAGGTACTTCCATTATTGAGTTTAAGGATCCGCAACCTAAACTAAACCCCCAAACCCGGAAATAGCAGGTTTACGTCGGGTCACAACCCTTTGGGCCCTAAACCCTAAACCCCTATATGCCCTAAACCCTAAACTCTAAACCCCTACAGCCCTAAATCCAAAATGGTTCGGGCATCGAGCTCGGGACGTCCTGTCAAGGCTCGGATGCACAGAACTGCTGTCTGTGCGGGCACTAAGGGTTCTTCATCAAGGTTCGGGGTTAGAGTTTAGGGTTTAGGGTTATATAAGGGCATTGTAAAGGTTTCATAGAACTCCTTGGGTTTCAGGAGTGCAGCTCAGCGCGAAGGGGTCAGGGCGTAAGGCTTCGGGCTTTCTAGTTTGCGGTCGAGGGCCTAGGTAATTAGGGTCTACGCAAAGTGCCAGGAGCCACCGCCGCGGCAGGCACGGCGACGAGTAAATGGGTTTTCTTTGTTGGCTCAGGGGTTTCGTGCTTGGACTGAATGTAGAAGTGAGTAGTGACCATTGCTATTCCCCAGGGCTCCTTATTGTTCATATAGCAGAATGGGAAGCCCCTGGACTTGGACTCGCTGAAAATCCTGATGGGGACCTGGATAGGGCCGCAGCCTCTTCTCATGAGGGAACCCTAATTGGGAGTTTCCGAAAATAAGGGACCCTCATCTGGTACCCTAAATAGAAGGATCCTTACTATAAGGACCCCAAAATGAGAGCACCCCCAATTCTCGATAGAGGATGGCCCCGAGCGAGCTGCACAGAAATTCTCAGAAACCCAGGACGGAGGCTTGACTAATTAGTAAGACTCTCCCCTGACAGTCCCTGTACAAACGACACTGCGTCCCAAAGCCCTTTCTACTTCGTAAGGTTCTGACATCATCCAGGACCCTCCCGCCCTAAACTCCAGAACCTCAGTGCCCGGCTTGAGAGTTTTAGGGTTACCATCGTGCATAATTTATGAACATTTAAAACCGGCTATTAGGTTTTTTATGCGGGCTTTCATCGGGGGTTTGTTGCTGTCTGTGTAGGGTTTGTGGGTTGAATCAGAAGCTGTGCAGAGAAATGCAGTTGGGATTGCTACTAACTTCTACGTTAGGGCACCTGCGCCCAATCAGTTGAGCCCTAATCGCTAAACCCCAGAACCTACAAGCTAAACACCCTAGGGGTGCCGAGACCGTTGAAAAACCGAAGCGACCTTTACAACACCTACAACACCCTAAGCAACCCTATAAATGTCGTTTAATTTAGAGACAGCGCGCCCGCCGATGTGATCTTGTCAGGTACGCACTGCGCAGGCACGAGACCCAGACCGTGGTCGTTTCGCAGGGCTCGGGTTTGAGATTTTTGGGATTCGCAAGTAAAATTTAGGGGCATACGTATAAGTCTTCGAGCAGAGGATCCAGGGGTATAGGAAGTCGGGCATTTAGGGGTTTAGGGAAGTGCTTTTCGGGACCTGAAGCTAAATTCTAGGTTGATCTGCTTAACAGCCTAGCTCCAATACTAGAAACGGCCGACGAGAAGAAGGGCCTGAGAAGAGGCCGGGATAGACCCGCAGCTATTCTAAATACTACTACTAATGATAATAATAAAATAATGGAACCAGGGATAGTGATAGATGATAGTAAAAACAGTGGTAGTAATAACACACTGCGAAAAATGCTGCGACAATAACGACGACCACGACGAGGACCACGATGACGACGGCGGCGGCGACGACGACTGCGACTACTACTACTACTACTACTACTACTACTAATAATAATAATACTAATACTACTACTACTACTACTACGACTAATAATAATAATAATAACAATAATAATAATAACAACAATAACAACCATCAGTAATAGTAGTTCCAAAGCTTAACTAAATGGGGCACGATGATAGTATGGTAACATGAGCATACAGTTGTATAGTATTATAGCAATATATTGGACAGTAACAGATAGCAGAAACTTATGTAACAATGTAATAATGTGAAACTATGGCTGGAGTATAATGCAACAGTACAAAATACATGAAATAAGACAATATGATAATAATACAATTTCACACGGATACAATGATGCAATGATACAATGAGACAATGATACAGCGATGCAGTGATGCAATATACAAACATAACATGGCAACAAAACATGGTCACATAATAACAAGGTAATGAAGCAATGATATAACAATACAATAGTGTTACAGTATGATAGTAGTTAATATAACATCATAAAAATATAGTGATGTAATAACATAAGAACAGAATAACATAAGATCATAGTAACATAATAACGTAGCATTTAGTGGCGTTTAGAGTCGTCCGAGGGGGGTTCACAAACGCGCTCCGCATGCCAGACTCCTCCACTAGTGGCGTTTAGAGTCTTCCAGGAAGGGAAGGCGCGCGTCTGCCAGAGCCTTCTAGACTCCTTCCGGTTTAGAGTCTTCCAAGGGGGTCCCAACCGCGTGCCGCATCCCCCAGAGCCTTCTACGGTATTCCCAACACAGCTGTGTTGTGCATGCTGTGTTGTGCGTGCTGTGCGCTATGCATATATATATATATATATGTGTGTGTATGCGTGTGCGTGTGTGTGTCCTTGTGTGTTGTGGTTGCGTGCGTGCTGTGCTGTGTTGCGCATCGCGTTCTGTGTTGTTGTATGCTGTGGGTGCCGTGGTGTGTGTCCTGTGTGTGGTGGTGCCGTGTATGCTGTGCTGTGTTGTGATTGGCGGCCTGGCGCGCTGTGTTGTGTATGCTGCGGTGCGGCGCGTCACGTGGCGGGAGAAGGAGAGGAGGAGAGGAGAGGAGAGGAGGAGAGGAGAGGAGGAGCGGATATCGACAAAGAAAACCAAGAGCCCACAGTGATGTGGGGAATAGTATAACATATGGTAACAGATAAGTAAGTAATAATTACAAACAGCGTAATATGATGATGATGTGGTAAGAGTATAACAGTAGAACAATACAATAGTTTTAAAACAATATGGCAATGATACAACAATATGGTAACATAATATAGTATACAAATGCAATAGCATAACATGATAACACTACAGTAATATACATATACATATATATATATATATATACATATATATATATATATATATATATATATATCAATTGAATCAAAGCAGTAAGTATAATGATACGGTAATGCAATACATCTCAGAAAGTACTAATGCAACAATGTGACACTCTAGCCCTAAACTCCCTCAAGTCATTTCGTTTTGGGACAGTGATCCAGATTATCAATATTCCAGTACCATTCCCTTACAGTCCCTTCAGATAATATGGTTCCCCAATGGGTTTATGGTACAGAAGCGATCAGAATCCTGCACACTCCCATAGGAAACACTCTTGCATCCTATCCCGAAGCCCTAAACCCTGAACCCCAAAACCCAAAAGCCCCACAGGCGCCACTGGACCTCGATGCAGAGCATTTGCGGATTGGAAGAACGAAGCTGTGTCCGCGAGAGGTGGGCAGGAGTCGGCCAGAGGTACGAAACTGGCAACTCGGTCGGGTTTTACGAACTGGAACTGGTTCGCAACCGGATGAAACTTTTAAACTTTTCCGTTTCAGACCAGGGTTGGACTGTTTGTAGATCCTTGACTGTACAGGAGTTGCACAACGAATGGATCGATCGGTTCAGGCACCGCGAAGTGATTCTGATTCCTATTGAAAGTCTGATGTATAGAGGCCTTGTCTTCTTAATGGATGCCAGCCCTGTTTCAGACTCTCGCTAAGAGAGTTCTTGTGCGGCTTACAGCGCCAAGCGGGTTTTCAGCACACTTTCCTTAAATGCCCTAGCCTTAATTAAATCCCTATTGTAACCCCTTTTGAAAGAAAGAGCCGTAAACCCTAAACCTTACGAGGTTTGCATGGCTAAAACAGGGGCCTTAATAATTATGTACTTATACTATTTTCGGGGTTCCTCATTATAACTATAGTGTAATGGGCCCGGAAACCCTATGCTAATTATTAAGCCCCCTACACTACCTTTCCTTGTGGTCCTCAGGAGACGAGAGTCGCAAGTTTCTGGAGTCATACTTGAAGGTCCAGGGTTCAGGGTTTCCTTGCCTTAGCAAGAAACACAACAGAAACGCCAGTTTTACGACTTTCAGAGGTCTAGGGTGCCGCCTGTATGGCAGGTTTGGGGGTCTAACTGGATGCGAGGAGGAGCAACATCCGATTAGGTCCTTTCTGGTTTAACCGATTCTGTAGAGCTGAAAAGGGGGTCCGAGTAATTAGTAATGGCATCCCCTGCTCGTCCCAGCATAAGCTACACTATACGGCAAAGACTCTATTCTACTTGGTAAGGCTCCCATGAGACATCCCAAAGTGGTTGTCCTTACAGGGAGCCGATGACAGCGAACCGTAACCGGTAAACCCTAAACCCTAAAAGCTCTAAACCCTGACCGTCCAGGCAGCCCCTCCGGACTGGACTGCTGCAAAGAGATATTCGCTTCTCCTGCGAACGCCCGCCACACGCTGATCCGCGGCTCACCGAGACACGGGGTCAGCTGCCGCTGGGGGAAGAGACACCGGAGTTGGAGGCGGCTTCGGTTTGGGGTTAGGTTTTTGAGGTTTAGGCTTTTGGGAGGGTTGCTCTGTGTATTTCAGGGATTTCCCCTGTTCCGAGCTTCTCTCGCGAGGTTTCAGAGGGTTAAGGTTAGGAATCAAGAATGCGCCTTTCGATTAAGGCCTCAGGCGTAGACCCCGCAAGTGACCCTGCACCCAGGCTGTAGGTTTTGGACTTTTAGGCTTCAGGGTTTGGGTATGGTGCCCCTGCCAGTACCCGAGGAGTGCATGGCTTTACATGCTAGCAGGGTGTTACTGTGGTTCTTTTCAGGTTGCACCGTGCTGTTGTCTCTGCTTCCCTTTACCGTTGCTCATGCTACTCCTACCCTTACTCCTACTCCTACTCCTACTACAGCTGCTACTACTACTACTACTACTACTACTACTACTCCTGCTGCTGCTGCTACTACTTCTGCGTACCGCCTACTGCCTACTGCCTACTGCCTACTGCCTACTGCCTACTGCTTACTGCTTACTGCTTCCTGCTTACTACTACTACTACTACTCCTCCTCCTCCTCCTGCTGCTGCTGCTGCTGCTGCTACTGCTACTGCTACTGCTACTGCGACTACGACTACGACTACTACGGCCGCGGCTGCGGCTTGCTACTGCTGCTACTCTTCTTGCTCCCACTCCTATCACTAGTGCAAGGACGACGACTACTACTACAGCTGAAATTACATGTACAACTACAACTACACGTATTGTTCTTGTCGTCATTTTCGGAACTATGCGGCGACAGCGACGACACAGACCAGGGCTCTTTTGTTATAACCCTAAATCCCCTGAGGTTGTACTTTCCGACTCGTAAAGCCCAGGTCGGAAGTGCCGGGTTTTGAGCCCTGCGAAATTTAAGCCGCATCAGACTTACACAGCCGCATTTAAGCCCCTGCAAGACGAATTGCACACATGACGCCTTCGTTCTCCTCCATCTCCGCCTCCTCCTACTACTGACGGCAGCAAGTCGTTCTATCCGGCTAACCGACCAAACTGAAGAGTTGTGACGTGCTGCCGCATAAATCTGAATAGGAAAGCATCGTATAAGTGTGGCGAAGTGCGCTGCGCAGCGTCTCCGAATCAGAAACCTCGCATTAAAAATTACAATCCTGTAGAACAGTGCCACCGAGCATCGCTGTTTTTGGCTTATCTGCCAGCTAGCTTGCTCCCTTTTTTTCAGAGTTGATGTGTGGTGTTGCGTTTTCGACATCACAAGAGAAAGCATACATGTTTGTGGAACCATTGGGAGAAAGATTCCTGCATGGACGAAACTTCTCCAAAGCAGGCTCAAACCGTCAAACTCACAGAGTAGTTTGGGGCTATGGTAGAACCACGAGGGCTTGGGGTAAGGATTGGAAGGCTGGGGAGCTAGATATTGGCTTCGAGGCGCAATGTGGGGTAGGAATGTTTGTTACATTTTGGCAAGCACACTCGTAGCTGTCTAAATTAGGGCCCTTATACAAAGGGCCCTAAAGAGGACTTAGAGAACTACCCCCCCCCGTGCACACACACAGCGAAAGAAAAAACACGATTCCAGCATTTTCCGGCCGGCAGCAGATGCCCGCACTCGTCTTGCCACGCATGGACACGATGCTAGTGTAATCCGTGGGTTCAAGATTTTTGGGTTTAGGCTATGGCAAGGGTTTGGTGTGAGGGTCTTGGTGCTTGGGTTCAGGTTGGATTTACATAAGATTCTGGGGTTTAAGGTTTATATAAGGTGGTTTAGGGAGCCCTATACCTGCGACTGAGAATTCATCAGGCTTCCAAGGCCTAGAACTTGTCAGAACTCGTGAAGGACGAGGATCCCAGCAACGAAGGCCACGACGGAGACGGCGAGGAGGAGGAGGAGGAGGAGGCGCTGGAGTAGATAGGATGTTTGCTTCAGGGTAGTCGGTCTCGCTGAAAGGTTGGTTTGATTCGCAGCTTGACTTCTCGGCGCTGCAGGTATGATAAAACGCGCAGCAGATGAAACTTAGGCGCTCGAAGACAATGTGGTAGTTGAGTCTGAGTCTGATGTGCGGATTTGCTGAACATAACTCTCGCTTGTCTGCCGCTCGTGCATGTCCTTGGCAGAACGCGGCTCATTCTAACGGTCTGTCAACGCCGGTGATCTCTGAACCGCAAACGCTACTATTTCGTTCTTGGCTCCCTGCGTAGTAGCAGCAGCAGCAGCAGCTGCAGTAGCAGTAGCATAAGTGGTCGCTAGCAGTAGCAATCGCAGTAGCAGTAGCAGCAGCCACAGCACTAGTGTAGCATCAGCAGTAGTAGTAGCAGCAGTAGTCGTCGTACTTGTACTTGTACTTTTGGGTTTACATGTCTAGGCCCCAAGCCCGAAACCGAAGACCCTAAAGACGAAGCCACTTTAAAAACGCATACCCTAAACCCCTACACCTAAACTCGAAGCCCGAGGGCCTAAGACATAAACCCCCTCATCACCCTAAGCGCGGAACCCTAGACAACACCAGGAAGTGACTTCGTCCTCTGGTCCGGCATCAGCCACCGATGGGTGCCTGGGAACAGCAGGCTGTTCAGGCTTACGATTAGGGTTATGTTACTATTACTATTACTATTATTATTACTATTACTATTACTATTATTATTACTATTACTATTATTATTACTATTACTATTATTATTACTATTACTATTATTAGTATTATTATTATTATTACTATTATTATTACTATCACTATTATTATTATTACTATTACTACTACTATTAAGGTCAGGGCGTCTGCCCTGTTCCGAGTTTCCCATGGGGGGGTCCTAGGGCCCTGCTATTCATCCTGGGGCTCAGGAAGAAATCAGGCAGGTTAATACGGTTGATGATATAAATCCTGCATGACCTTAAGGACCCTAAACTATGGGAATTATGGTATATTCCTTATTATGGGTCATGCAGGATTTATATCATCAACAGTATAATTATCCTCCTCCTATAGGTTCCTTTTTAGGGGGACCTTCAGGGTTCCTAGAAGGGATCTATAAGGGTACTGTACCAAAGGGGCTTAAATAATTTTCAATACTGTTGTGGGGGTTTCCTTAGATATCTTACTGTAGTATGCACCAAAAGCCTATTCCAATTATTTGGGCCCCTATAATATGCCTGGCATTACACTTTCACTGCACTGCTAAGCCCTAAGCCCAAAGCACTAAACCCAAGAATTAACACAAAGCGGGCAACCCGAAACGCGCCAAAAGCCATAAGCCCAAAACACAAATCCCAAGCAACTTATATAGCCCAAGACGCTAAATCTCAAATAAGCCCTAATCCCTGCTTGGAGTTATCGTCGTGTCTTGTGCGCCAGCATAGAGCCAACTTGTTAAGCCCCGAGCTTTTTCAGAGTCTGCTATAGGAGTACCACAAGGGGCACTTTAAGGGGTACCGTAAGTGTTAATGGTTCCATGGGGGTTCTAAAGTGGATCAGGGTTTAGGTTTTAAGGGAGAAAAGCACTACTTGGCTTACCACGACCACGAGAAGGATTCCAACGCTCACGTGAGGCTTTGGATTTTGTGGGTTAAGGGGTGCGCAATCCCGAGACTCAAAACATCCTAAAAGCTTCCGCAAAACTGTCTATAGAACGCCTATGGCACGCAACAAAACCATACAAAACCCAACAAGCCTCTACAGGAACCCAAAAACAGCCCAGAGCCCGAAACCGTAAGCCCAACCCCCATGCCCTCTAAGCCCTGAGGTGCATAATGGCACCCGCGGAGGAGGCTGCCGAGGACATGGCTGGGAATTGGGGGTCGGGGACTAGCGCTCAGGGTTTTTAGGGTTTAATACAGGGGCCTTAATAATTACCAATACTATCTTGAGGGTTCCTCATTACAATTATAGCAGCTTATATCATATTGGGCCCCAAACAATCTTATAATTATTAAGGCCCCTATATTAGCGCTCAGGGTTTTAGCTTAGCTGTAGGGCTTATGGTGAAGGGTTCAGGGCGTAGTTCAGGGTTTAGCACATTTAGGATGCTAAATGGTCTAGGGGTTCGGATAGCCCGTTGCTGTAAGGCTTTACTAAAAGGGTTTCAGGTTTGAGAGGTTTTCGGTTTTAGGTTCGAAGGGTTTGTCCCAATCTAACCCCGAACCGAAATCTATCGCCGATTGTGGCCTAGTAGTAGAGTACTGACGCAATCTTTTCAATTTTTTGAGGGATACTATAACACCGATCTACTGCCAAAGGTTACCCTTTGGTATCTTTAAGAGCGCTGAACAAGTCAGGTGGGTCAGATGCCAGAGTCATGATTTCGAGACTCCGTGTACCGGGGAGCCCGATGCCCTCAATTCAACAGTGCGGCTTTCGTGCCTACCTGGAGCCCAAAAGTATGTAGCATAATCGCCTTTTGTGGGTGTTGGGCCGTGGCTCTACCAGGTCATGGGGATAGAGGTAGGGTTCATTTAATCATCGGTCCCTCTATGATGTGGACTATTCCTTAACCGATCTATGCCGGGCTCTATGCGTTGAGCTATTGCGACAGAAGGTGTTCGGGTCAAGCTTCACACGGGTCTGAAAAGGGCTTTAGGGTGTTTTGGGTTTATGGGGTTCAGAGGTTTGGCGTATGATGGTCTTCTTTTTGTGATGCCTGATGCTTCATCAGCAAAACCCTAAACTCGAACTAGCTGTCTGACATCATGGCCGGACCGTAAGCCCAAAATCCCAAATCCTATACAGCTTATAGAACCCATTTCGGATCCCGCACAGGAACCCATATATACAGTAGCCTTCGAGGAGCTTATGGATCCCTAAAGCAATACTCCGAAACTCAGCAGGCCCACATCCTTCCGACTTTGGAGGGCTTGACGGTTTTTTGCATTCGATTGCATAGGTCTAAACTCAATCAGAAGCTGAACAGGCAAACCCTCAAACTTACGCCCTACACCCTAAACGGCCCTGAACTCTGAAGACGGTCCCAGAGCAGCTAACAGCTAGGGCGTGCTCCCGCGTTGCGAACATGCAGCAAGTTCATCATCATGACAACGGTTGTGTTCATGTTCGTGGCCATGTCGACGATCATATTTATAGTGGTATGGTTCAGATGATGCGTTGTTGTTGACGATGATATGTTCAGGACCTTCTTCGTCATCATCATGTTCATCATTATCGTGATGATACTGATGATATTCGTCATAACCATGCTCTTGGCCCTCCTTATCATTGCCATAGCTATGCTCGTCATCATATTGGCGAACACCACCTTTCAGCATGACGATGACCATCCCGCGAGCTCATTACCAGGAGCTTCCTCTTTCCAATTGTTCATCATCACTGTCTTGCTCGTCACCAGGACCATTCTCACGATGTTGAACTTCGTTGTGATCACCACTATGACCAAGAGCCATGACAATGAGCATGACGATAGCCATGTTGATGATGAAAGTGATGATGAGGGCCATGTTGATGATGAAAGTGATGATGAGGAGGAGCAGATCTGATAATGATGATGAAGATGATGATGAAGACGAAGAAGATAACGGCCATCATCATCTTCTTGTTCCTTCTCCTCATCATCCCCATCTTGACTCCGAGGCTTCATGGATAGTCTGAAGCTTCCTCAGACCCCGGAATCCCTGAAGCATTCGTCGCCATGCTGATGATAGTCACAACGATGAGGATCCCCGTGCTTCCGCCATGTAGTTTTGCTACAACAGTCCTCAAACGCTCCAAAACCTCGCTAAGCCCTGAACCCTGAAATCTAAACCGCCACTCTAACTATTGAGGTCCCTGTCTTAGCAGCACAAGCTAGCCTGGCAATCCGAGACAGGACAGACTTAAAACTCTGGTGGAGCAGCTGCAGCGCCATGGATTCTTGGGGGGTGAGGCCAGCCACGCTAGGAGGGTTTGGGATGGTTTGGGGTTGAGGGTTGCTGGGTCGAGGGATTAAGGGTTGAGGGTTGCGGGGTTGAGGGATTAATGCTAATGTTACAGCCAGTAAAGAAGTGGGATGTACTGAACAGGCATGTACATCAACCCTCAACATTAGCCTTGATACCCTGAGCAATAAGCCCGACACTGCCCCACATGCTCGGAGGAAGACATGGATGCATTGGAAGCGCGGCTGTCTTTTGTGTCGCGTTGCACGCAGACGCTGGACACGCTGGTCAGGGCATACATTGGCGAGGACTTTGCTACGGTTGTAGGGGTTAGGGTTTCAGCGGGGGCTCCCTCCTTGATAGCTGGGGCTGTTGTAGCTTGTTTCCCCTTATCCGCATCAAGGTTCGGCGCAAGGAGCCCTAAGATTGGTCTACTTGGAGGTTCATGGGTAGTTATAAGTGCGGTTATAAGTAGGGAAAACTATATTTATAGCTTATATACGGAGACTTATACCCATGAACCTCCAAGCAGACCTACTACCCATGGTAATAGGGGGTTCCTTATTATAATGATAAAATAGGGCCCCAAAACCCTATTCTGATTATTAAGGCCCCCATGTTAGCCCTTTCCAGGCTCAGCCCTCAAATGTAACACCCCTCAAATGTAACATCCCTAAAAGCCTAAACTCAATAGCCCTGGCAATGTAGAGGCCGAAGTACTTGCCCACATTCTTCCTTGGGGTTCCTTGAACGATAAGTATGACAGAACATATCTATTCGGCCACTGAAGAAAGACCCTTCTAGTAACCCTGATAGAACCCTTACATGGGGGCCTTCAGAGGATCCAAAGCCCTCGGCCCCCCCCGCCAGGCGCAGGAGCTGAACGATCGGAACCTGTCGCGGCTACAGCAGTCGATCCGCAGCCATGGCATCTACAGGGAGCTGATGAGCTGAAGCTCGGCTCAGATAGAGGATTATACAGAGAGGTGGAGTAACTACATATGTACATATATATTTAGTACATATATATATATATATGTATAAACACACACGCACATACATATATATATATATATATATATATATATATACATACACACATACATATGCATTTGCTTTGTAAGCCTATATGAAGATATATACAGCGCCATTCGATGCATTTGCAGTAGTATTGTGATGTTTGTGGTTGTGTGGCGTGTGTTTTTTGGGTTTTGTGTTCACTGTCTTGTTCGCTGTCTTTCATGGCTTGTAAGTACGGTGCAGTGCTCCAAAGCTTCGTGGTTCATGGTTTATGTGAACTGTTTCCGTGCTGTTCATTGAGGATTCTTCCACCACGGGCTCGAGGGTCCAGGGCGTAGGGCTTTCGGCACATTGGGCGTAGGATTTAGAGGATGCGAGTGTAGGGGTTTAGGGTAAGCCTGTGTTTTTTTTTTTGCTGTCGTTGCTTCATGTTGTGTTGTTGCCGTCGTTGTGCGGACCCAGGAAGCCAGCAAGTCAGTGAACCCCGTTCCCGGAACGACAGCAAAAAACAACGCGCCCCGGGGACGACAGCAAAAGAAACCCCGCAACGACAGCAGAACAAAAAACACACCCCGGGGACGACAGCAAAAAAGCAATGACAGCTTTAGGGTTCGGGGGTTCAGGGTTTGCGGCACCTGCGGGAATCGGCGTCCCTAAGTCCTAAAGGACCCGTTAAAGCGAGACCCCAGGAGGGTTTAGGGTTTGGGGTTTAGGTTTTAGGGTTTAGGGTTTAGGGTGGTTTTAGGGGCTTAGGGTTTTTAGGGTTTTGGGTTCAGGGATGAACCCCCAAACCCCTGAGCCCGAACAAAGCTCGTAGAGAGTTCTTACAGAAAGCCCTTATATGCCTTTTTTCAAGCCTTAAGGAAAGAGCTCTCATTGGAACCCTTCGAATGTAGGAACCTGAATAAGAAACCGTGGGCCTTTATTCGGGTTCCTTAAATGAATCCTAGTATTTTGGGGTTGTAGGCCCAGGGTTTCTAGAACCCTACTGTAGATCCCCCTTTAAAAGGAACCCCTTTAAAGGGACCCACGAAAGAGCCTAGGTGCCGAGCCTCCTCATCGACCGACGGTTCAGACCCTCCTGGAGCACCAGGGGAGCCCTGAATCTCTGCTCAGGAAGATGTGTGCGCTCACCGTGCCTCGGCATTTTGAAGGGTTGAGAAGTTGAGGGGGCCTTTTAGGGGCTTTTAGGGCTTTTAGGGGTTTTAGGGCTTTAGGGGTTTAGGTGTTTAGGGTGTCGGCTTGAGGGTATAGGGGCTAAAGGCTCCGGGTGTATACGACTTAAGACTTAGGTCTACTAGACGCCCCCAGCCCCAAGCACCCTAGAACCGGTGTAGGTCCGGAACAGTGACAGAGCACCTGACCTTGCAGTCCGAGTCCTACATACCAAACAAAGAGCCTGCGAGCGCACCGAGCCGTGGTGGCAAAAAGAGTATGACCGGAAGAGTGGCGGGAGCACGCTTTTTGGAAGAGCAAACAGGAGCGCAATTTCGAGTTCCGGCAACATTCCAAAACCTTTTAGAACCGCGTGCGTCGAAGACCACAGAAGGGAGTCCCGAAGGCGAATAATCTGATCCTGCCAAAGCCATGAAGATCAGCATCCCAAAATGGTTCTCCAGACAGAGTTCGCCACGGCGCACGGAACCCCGGTCGTGTCGCCGGGTCTCGCAGTCACAGCAACCAAGTCCTCTTTGCCGGGGAGGCGCGTAGTCTGGCCACACTGCATCCGGGAAACTAAATGTTCTCCAAATTAGGGTCCCTTCTCAAGTCCCCAAGAGATTACGGCACCAAAAGGGACCCTAATTTAGAGAACTACCCGAGTAAAGCTTGAACAGGTTCGCCCTGCAACCAGCCTGAATGAAACCTACCTGTGTCGGGTATAGCTCTTCTTTGTAGATTCAAGACATTGTGCTGCATTGCAACGATGAGCCAATGTGTAGAATATTTCAGGTTACGCAACCTTGTGTATCTTGGATGCTGAATACGAGATTCCTGATTCAATCAAACTCTATCTGTTGCAGCACATATGTAGAAGATTGCATTATCTTGCGGCAGAGTACAGTGCAAACAACACATGTAGGTGTATGTCGCCCGTATCAGAGTACACATCAGGAAGCCACATAGATCTGCAGGGATACTTTGCATGTCTCACATCGGCGACCCATAGAAAAAGCAACTCACACTAGACCCTTAAACGCTTAAAGACCCCTAAACCCCCAAACCCCAAAAACCCTTAAGCCCCTAAACCCCCTAAACCCCATGACCCTAAACCCTAACCCCTAAACCCCTAAACCCTGTAGCCTAAACCCTAACCATTAAACCCCTAAACCCTGAACCTCTCTTTCATATGTATTTAAACCTGAAAACCGTCGCGGGCAATGACGATTTCCGTGTCAGCGTACGGCAATGCCCGCGAAGAAATACCGTTGTTCTGCAAGAACACCGGTATTCCTTAGCGGGCAATGACGATTTGAGGTATTTCTTCGCGGGCAACGGCGATTTCAGGTAAAATCGTCACTGCTCTTACTAGTTTTCTGGCAGAAGACCAGTCTTTCTGCGCGGGCAATGACGAATTTAAGTAAAGTCGTTATTGCCCGCGAAGGGTTACTGGTTTTCCGGCAGAAAACCGGTGTGCTTTCGCAGGCATTGACGATTTCCGCTAGGTATTTCTTCGCCGAGGCATAAGCTCTGGAAATTCAGCAAACAAAACTCAGAGCATGTTCGCTTGAATTGAAAGTGTAGAACCAAGCTCTATTGTCAAAATTATGGTCCCTTTTTTGGGTACCCTACATATTAGGTGCCGTATTATAATAGGGACCCAAGAAGGGTACCTGTAATAACGTTTTCCCATAATGAAAGCTCGGCCTTTCTTGAGAGCCCCGAGAGGTTCATGGGTAGTTATAAGTGGGGTAATAAGTGGGGCAACTGTAATTATAACCCATATTAGGGGACTTTGAACTCTATTTATAATTACCCATGAACCTCCAAGTAAAAAAAGCAGTATCCCCTGCAAGGGTTTAGGGTTTAGGGTTTGGTCTGGCCACATTGCCGTGGCTTCGGCTTCTAAGAACTCTTCTCAGGTCTCATCCTTTGGCGTCGATGGGGTTTCAGGATCGAGGATTTCGGGTTCAGGGGTTAGGGTTTATGGTTTAGGGCTTAGGGAGATTCCGTGTGTCGGGTACGTAAGAAAAGCTTCAGGCGAGAGCTCACGCGCTTTTGTCGGCGCCGAACTCCCCACCTGTCACGTTTGAGCAGATGCTGGAAATCGTCGAGGACAGATTATCCTGGCATTTCCCCGAGAGATCGCTGGAACGCTATCTGCACCGGCATCAGGCACGCGAACATGGGCGGCATCTCGGCTGCATGGTTGACCAGGTTTACGTTCTTTGAAGTTAATCTAGCCCCTGCGGGAGAGGGCCTCAAAAAGAATCTACGGGTCAAAGAATGCAAGGCCCCATTTGGTGCCTCGATGTGTTTCGGTTTTCCAGCTTTTGAGGCTTGATCAGACCTCTCGCCCAAAACCCCAACAGACCTTAAAGCCAGAGAATGCAAAGCCCGGAGCCCCGAAACCCTGACATAGAAGTCCTGGGTTTGACATGGCGAATCCCGTGTTTGACCATTATGCGCTTTTTAGGGGGGACGGTGGGGGGGGAAGGAACAGACACAATCAAAACGGGCAGTGAAGAATCTACAACACATAGCCACAATACCTAATAGGAGGCTAGGGGTCATCATGACCTTTGCTGGTCCTGCGGAAGATTCCAAGGATTCAGGATATGTTTCGGGTTGCACATACCTTGTTGGGAGTTATTCCTGGGAGAAGCCACATCTACCACTATCCCTGCACCCTAAACGCTTAACCCGACCTTTTAGGTACACGGATCCTTTCAGCATGACGTAGGGCTGCAGGGCATGAGGCGGGACGACGGGGTCTACCGGTGGTGTGGGAGGAGGGGTACTGCACCCAGTGGTAAACTTTGTGTGTCGGAGATCAACTCTAAGTTTTCATAAACCCTATACCATCCTAAACCCTGGACCCTAAGCCCGAAACCCTTTGAGGCTTTCTGGCTTATGTGACCTGGAACCCTAAACCCTCGCTTCAGAGCCGTCCATGTGAGATCGCATTGGCTTTTGCCTCACGTTCACAGAGAAATAGGCTTTCTGAAAGGGGCAGGAGCTTGCCAGCTGTGGTTAGCTTCGTTACGAGCTGCTACAAGGGTTAGTCGACGGTTTAACGATGAGGTAGGTGAGTCAGATTTTAACAGTGCAGGGCCTAGGGTTTAGGGAATCCTAGGCCTGCGCATGATCCTCGCTTGATTTCCCGCTGGAAAGCATCCGATCTACCATCTCAAGAAACCTTCGATGCCAGATCGGGTTTAATAAGTCAAGTAGAGGTTCCTGACTCGGTTTAGGGTTTAGGGCTTTAGGGGTTAGGGTTTAGGGCGGTGTCATGTTCTCTTATTTCCTGAAGCACCCGCATTGCAACAGCCCAGGGTCTGGAGTGTTGGACAGTGGGCTCTGCAGACATTCGTATGGCACTACTACTACTACTACTACTACTACTACCACTACTACTACTACTACTACTACTACTACTACTACTACTACTACTACTACTACTACCATTACGACGACGACGGCGACGACAACGACTACTACTACCACCACTACCACTGCTTTGTGGGTTTCGGTCGCTGTGTTCAAAACAAAACGTTAACACGGACAAGCATGACGAACGCCCTAAACCGAAGCTCTGAACCCCACACCCCAAAATAGCGCTAAACAACTGACCGTACACCGTGAAGCCAAGGATTGGACGAGACCCGATACCAGCTTGAACCCCAAGCCCTAAACCATCAACCCTCAACCCTAAACCCTAAACCCTAAACCCTAACCCCTCAACCCTCAACCCTCGACCCTAAACCCTAAACCCTGAGCCCTAAACCCTGAACCCTAAACCCTAAACCCAAAACCCCTCAACCCTCAACCCTAAACGCTAAACCCTAAACCCCGAACCGTAGACTCTGAAGCCGAGGACTGCAGAAGAAACCCTGATTCGTCTTGTGCAACAAAGCAGAGAGCCCGCACGGGAGCTGCTCAGGAGCGGGTCTAATATAGGAGCCTGGTTCACTAGAAGAGGGTTTCAGAGGGTTCCTTTATAGGGTTCTACAAGGAATCTATAATAGGGTTCTGTAATATAGGGGCCTGAATCATTAGAATAGGGTTTGGGGGAGGGTACTATACTGTAACCATAATAAGGAACCCCCCACAATAGCATTGGTAATGATCAAGGCCGCTGTATTACAAGAGTTCTGTAAGGCTTGGTTGCAGTTTTATAATGGCTGCCATGCGGGCTGCTTCGGTGTGTCGGATTTTGGTGCATTGGTAAAGGCCGTGCGTTGCTTAGGGCTGAGGGCGTGGTGCGTCCAGGGAAAAGGGCAGAAGGATAGGGTGGTTCAGGGTCCCAGGTGGTGCGTTACAAGATGGCCAATAGAACTGCAAGCACAACAGCAGCACCAGAACTTCCAAAGACACTGCAGAACAGCAAGAGTAGGACTAAAAGGTCGAGCCAGAGCCTCAAGTCCATAGCCTCTAAACTGATGCCCTCTGGCACTCAATCCCTAAGTCGCCTTAGAATGGGGTCAATATGGAAGTTTCCGAAAACAGGGGACCTTAATATAGTACCATGAATAGTAGGATCCTTATTATAGGGACCCCAAAACAAGGTACCCCTAATTTTCGGAAACTCCCATATGAGTATCTCGAGTCTTTGCTAAACAGTCATAGGCAGCCTTGCGCCGAAATTTCTTCCCGGAGATCCCAAATCCTAAACCCCTAAAGCCCCTAACCCTAAATCCTAAATCCTAAACCCATAACCTTGAAGCCGACCCTTAATTTCACTACACCGCTAACCCTCGGAGGCGACTGGAAGAGAGTGGAACCAACGTCTGCTTCCGAAACTGTCCAAGTTTCGACGAACTGTCGAGGCCCTTTGGCTTGTTAAACCGACCGAATCCCAAACCCTCAGCCCTAAATCCAAACCCTGAACCCTGAATCCTAAACCCTTCACCTTTCTAGAGTGCAGACTGCTGTCTCTGGAGAAAAGGAGTTCAAAAAAAACACCCTCCTGAAGGTTTAGACTTTACACGAAGCCTAAGTTCTCGCGAAGCCCAGCTTCGGAGTCCTTTGCAGCTGCTACAGCGGGGGTTACTTTAAGAATTCTTGATTTTTGGAGGAAGGGCCAAAGGGTACTAGGGGTACCTTTAAGGGGTCCTTAAAGGGATCTATCAGGGTGCTATAATGGGGATCATTATGGGAGTTTCCGAAGATTAGGGGTACCTTTTTTTTTGGGATCCTTATAATTTGGATCCTACACTATTTAGGGTACTATACTAGGGTCTGTTAAGGGTTCCATATTTTGGGATCCTTGTAATATGGATCCTCCCATTTAGGGTGCTATATTAGGGGTTCCTTGTTTTGGGGGTCCTTTTAACAAGGATCCGACTATTTAGGGTACTGCATTAGGGTACTATAAGGGTCCTATAAGGATTCTCTAGGGCCGTTGTGGTTTTGGTTGTCGGGCGCTGTGTTTAGGGTTCAGGTTGAGTTTTGAGACTCTAAGACTTATGCATTCACGGGCCCGCGATTGCACTTGGCTTTCTTAACCCTAAACCCTAAGCCGTTGATTCTTTTGAACCGTCCGGCCAACTAACGCCTTGCCATCGTTCTTCTTTCTGTCGTTACTGCCACAGTTTTGGTCGTTGTTGCATGGTCCTTGTTGGATGCAGTCTCGTCGATGTTGTCGCTATACTCATTATTCGCCGCCTTCTTCTTGTTGTGATTCGCCTGCTTTATGAATTACGACGTCTCCAATAATTTTCTGGTGCTGATGGTGGTGGTAGTAGTACTAGCAGCAGCAGTAGTAGTGTTAGTAGTAGTAGTAGCAGCAGCAGTAGTAGTAGTAGTAGGAGTAGTAGGAGTAGTAGGAGTAGTAGGAGTAGTAGGAGTAGTCGGAGTAGTACGAGTCGTAGGAGTAGTAGGAGTAGTAGGAGTAGGATGAGTAGGATGAGTAGGAGTAGTAGGAGTAGTAGGAGTGGGAGAAGGGGTAGGAGTAGGAGTAGGAATAGCAAAGGTAGGGGTAGGAGTAGGAGTAGGGGTTGGAGGAGTTGTGGGAGGAGTAGCAGGAGTAGTGGGAGTAGTAGGGGGATCTTTGCATGCATAGACCCCCCAAGCGGACCTTAAGCTGCACACGAACCATGAACCCTAAATCATGAAGCCCGAGTTCGATAATGTTGACGAACAGGCTAGACGAATAACATCGGTCGGTGTCACTGCCATGCTGCTATGTCTACTGCGAAGTCTTCCGCTGCTCAGCACCTCCAAACAACCACCAACAGCCGGACAGAATCTGCTGCTCTCAACGTACTGAAAGCCCAAAACTTGAAACCCACAGAAGCCAAACTTTTAAATATCAAAACCCTAATCCCGAAACCTGAAACCCTTGCCGGATACTAAACCCAAACTCTAACACAGGGGTCTGAACAAGTGGTATCAAACTTCCCTTATTCCAATTATTCAGGCCTATGAGGGACCTGTTAAAGGAGCCCTGTTCTAAATATTAAGGCCCGTGTGCTACACTCGTATAATAGCCCAAAAGGAGCCGGTGTCCTATAGTAGCCCTTTAAAGGAATCCTAAGGTATGCTCTAACCATGTAGGCCCTCTAAGAACTTTAAATGCAGCCCGAGCCTTGCAATCCAAGGCGCCTCTGGCTTGAATTTTTGCGTTCGAGGCTGGCTTAGGGGTTTTGCCTTTCAGGTGTAGAGTTTAGGGTTTAGGGGTTTAGGGGTTTAGGGTTTAGAGTTTAGGGTTCTCTAGACCGTAAGCCCACCCGCAAATTTAGGGGTTCAGGGTTTGGTGTGATTTTGATTTTGTGCCGGAGGCTGGGTAATTGGGACCGGGAGTTCGCTCTCGAGCTGGACCGGATGTCGCAAACCGAAGGTTCAGATGCTCGCCTGATAGATGTTTGATTTCGGGTTCTTTAATGGGTTCTGTCTAAAAGATTCTGCTCAGGTCGGGGCTAGTTAGTGTAAGGGTAGTGTAGGGCTTTAGGGTATAGGGGTCCAGGGTTCAGCTATCTAGTGTTATTGGTTTGGTGCGTGCATTGAGGTGTAAGGTCATGGTACTTTCTTAACCACCAACGGAAGTTGTGCTTGCGTTATCGATCAATCACTCTTGAGGCAACCGGAACCGGAACCCAGACAAGCCATGCCGTGGAACAGCTGGCTGTCGGCCAGTAGCCGTGGAAGACCAACAGCAACAAGAGAAGTGGTGTCAACGCTAGCACATGTCAAGAACAGGAAAAGTACTACTTACACAGGCAAGAGTACCGACATTTGTCGTTATGACGAGCAAAGTACTATGTTGGTAGCAGAACCAGCAAAAGTAATCATACTGCAGGAAACACAACGCAGGTTTGAAGAGTGACAACAGTAACGGATATGCGCACAACACCGGCTGAGGCAGTAAGACGAAGATACCCAAACCCTATACCCAAAGCTGCCAATCCGCCCAAACCCGTGCCCCTGAACCCTTAAACTCTAAACACAAGACATGAGCTACAGGAGGAACACCATTTCTCGCGATGGTTCGGGGTTCCAGCTGCTGCTAGCAATCGCAATAAGACACCCTTAGTAATACTGTTATGTATTCCCTTAGAGTCCGCAGTATAGTTATTAACGCATAGACCTTCAACCTTAAACTCGAGCTAAGTCAGTCGCAGTCGATGGCGAACGTCCGATCAGTACGCCAGCTCGCCTCCTTACAGCCGTCGGGACCGTAGCACCCACGTTGGACCGGGTATCGAAAGACAACCAAGCTCGCAAAACGCCAAGGAACCCCCACGCTGCCTTCAGAGGCCGCCTACAAAACATGTATTAAAACTAATTCTCCTTTGTTTCTGCCCTGCGTGCTCACCAGCGCTGCCTTCTATCGCCAAATGCTCATAAGCTTCGCAGCCGATAGCTGGTTGTGCACAAGCTTGGCCGGCTATGTAGTGAGCATCACTTTTTTGAGGGGCCTTTGACCGAGGCTCATGTGGAAGAGCTCATTGATTGGTACAGACGGATCATTGATGCCGGGAGGCAAGCCAGGCAAGCAGTGAACAAGAGCAGGGTGCAACTGGCCAGGTTTCTGAACAGCAAAAAGACCTGTTCAGGGCTTTCCAGCGAAGGCGAGGAAGAGAAGTTGGTACATCCTGACGAGGAAGGTTTGGACTAAGACGACGATGAGATCTACGGCATAATCTTCACGAAGCTGTCGACAAAGGGTGTGCCGAACGTCATCAGCCTTGAGTCTGAGACAGCTTCTAGTTGTTCCCATGACGTCGAAGCTTTTCTGAGTTGCAAGCTCTCCTTCCTGGTTCAGGCGGCCATGCCCACCAGCACGCACGATTTGCTTTTCAGTCACACAGTAGCTGAGAGTGGGTCACCGCCGGCTGCCTTTCATCTGCAAACTGATTTCACAGACCACTTTGTCTCAAGGGTCATGCGTGTTCATACTCGCCACCTGAAATTCCCTCAACAGGCGACTTGGGCTTTCTGGCAACAAGCACATTCAGGCGAACATTGTGCTTTGTTTCACCAACGCCCATGTTGTAGACGAGGGTTGCGATTCGCTCATTTTCGAGAGAGAGAGAGAGAGAGAGAGGGCGTCAAAATCAAGTCCTCTTTGTCGATGGTGGTTCATGATTCTGAGCACGATGTTGCTTCCTTTGTGGCTCCTGCGAATGTCCTGTCTGCGCTTTCCCTTGACCCAGTACGGCTTTCAGCAAGGTTCTTGTCCAAGGTGTCTGCCTGTGCCGTCGGCTATGGAGACAGCGTCATGCGGACGAACGTCTTCGAGATTCAGCCTCCCGGCAGAGTCGACTTTGCTGCTGATGTCATAGGTCTGGTCATAAGGGGCACGTCCGGGGGCTCCATTGTCACTGTGGAAGGCTCAAGTGAGAGTCCCATTCCCACTGACCAGGTTGTTGGGCTGACCTTTGTGAGAGGAGGCAGCAACACCGTTTGGGCAACTTTGCTGGGTTCAACTCGTTGAGACCATGGAACCATGCGAGCAGGCAGTTGGCGCCGAAGGGTATGTTGTGTGGAAGGCTTCTGTTGCCAAGCTGTGGTACGGCCAAGACGTGGCTGAACTGGCTACTTCGTTTCTATTGGACCCATCAGCCCTTGGGCTGTCCAGCCGGACAGCTGGACATCGAGGGAGCAGCGATGTGTTGTGTCGTGCGTTGATTCATGGCCGAACCTTGACGGGGCATGAAGTCATAGGGCGGACGCAGACTAATGACCGGCCAAGGGCACCAGCTGCATGGGAGTCCTTGATGTGCCGCTTGGCTCCCACGGCAATGTACTTCTACAGCCTCCTGTCCGTGCAACATCTTCAAACTGAGAGTGGCAGCGATGCTCCCATGCAGGAGCGGTTCAGAGGCTTGGAACAAACAGAAACCAACAAAAGCCTGAGAGACGTTGATCCGACAGGCATGTTGGCCACCGCCTGTCTTTACTGTGCAGCAGTTTGCACGTCCGACCCTCAGCTACTGAATGACCTCCCGAACAGTGAGTGATCTCGTCGATGCTTCCTGGGTTGAGATCAGACGGTCTTCTCAAGTTGGCTGGTTGCTTTCCGTGCTCGGCGTTGAAGGCCGAAAATATCAACACAAATGAGACAAACGGGAGGCCAGTGATGCTTTCATTGACGCTTGCAGGCTCTTTAAGATGCATGTGGGCAGCAGAGCCAAAAGGGAATTACTGTCGCCGCCACAGGGGAATTTAAATTCAGCCTGTCCAGATTTGTCACAAAACAGCTTTGCGCCTTGATGTGTTCGGACTTTGACATTATGCTATTCGGACAACTTACATGCCAGCTGTTCATGTCACAGAGCAAACGAGACAGCTTGTCCCTCAGGAAACGGACCGCTCTCCCTACATTGGCTGCAGCGTGGTTGGGCAGGCATGGTTCACAGACAGGTTGTTTCACGGCCGCCGTGCTCCATCAGCGTTTTCTGCTTAGGCCCAAGTGCCCCAGTGCTACCGCAGCAAGGGCTACTATGACGTGTGAAGATGCGACGATGGTGTGGTTACATGTCCTAGGCATCACGGATGATGTCTTTGGGGCCACAGCATGAGGACAGACTTCGCATGTTCCAGGGCTTCGGGGCTATGGAAGCGTCCATCATGCAATTGGGGTTGCTGCGTATGATGGCAATGCCGTTTGTGGAGACTTGTCAGCTCATGCAGGCGAACCGACATGTGTCTGATGGCGTGGAGGCTACAGACACGTCCACCAAAGTTCATGTTGTTGATGAGAGGAAGACAATGAAGAAACGCTGTGGATACAGACAGGGGTTACTCCACATGATGTTGCACTTCGACGGTGGATGGACGCGGCTGAGTTCCTCAATGCTGGGCTCCGCGGGAGCGGGAAACCGCCTTACGTGCTCGTCGAGCTTGTGTACTTCGTGGAATCATCCAGTACTACACTGCACGAATGCCAACACTACAGTGGTCTCTTCTGAATGTGAATCTTGCAGCGACTGGCAGCCCTCCTGGTTCGGTTCCTCCTGCCTCCCTACTTGATGGTTGGGTCAGGGATGCAGTGGCAATGCTTCAGGGACGCCCTGGGACGCGGCCTCCGGTGCCTACTTTGAGTGTGGTCCCGCAGGTCGACTTGTGCTCCCAAGCCATGGAGGCCCCGACTCTTAACAAGACGCCTTGAACCAACAAAAAGCGGACTATGAGGCTGAAGTGGAGAGATGTGAGACGCTTCAGGCTGCCAATGATGCGGGCGGTAGGAAGCACACAACCGCCCCTCCGTTGCTTCTCCTCTTCCTGGATTCAGCTCGCGGCCGGCCACTTGATTCTATGGACCAGCTTCCTCGTCGAGTTGCCTGGTGGCTGGGGGTGGCCTTCCTCTGGAGGTTCGGCTTGTCATTGACCGTGTGCCACTTGACAGTGAATGCCGATGCTGGAAGGGAGCGACCCTTGAGTGTGGGAACTACGGGAGGAGCTCAGGGCTTCAATGATCGTTTGCTCGTTGCCCTGATTTGGATCAAGCACGCCAAGTGCGGAAGCAAGGGTTTTGGTCTGACCCTGAAGATCTTGAAGTCTTTGGGGGGAGAACGAACCCCAAGGCGACACATTAGCTGATCTCTGTCATGCTGATCGTGGTGAGGGGGCTCTGCCTGGTGACCCTACTTTGCATATGCCTCCGCCGGCGACTATAACTACCAGTTCGTGTCCTCGGGATTCTGCCGCTGTGGGATCGACGTCTGCACCAACTTTGGGAGGGGTTGCTCTTGATCCTATGCATTTGCCTTCGCTTGCCTTGCCCTTTGGATCTTCAGCTGCACCATCACGGCATTGGATCTTGAGGAAAAACAGCAAATCGAGCTACAAGCCGGGGCAAAGCGACGTCGTCTTCTACCGGAGGATGTGCGTTCTGAGACTGGGGAGTGACGTGTATTCCTAACCTTCTTTCCAGGTTGATCGCCGTAAAGGTGGTCGCCCGCCCAACACAGGCTTTCGTGACGCTTCATGCAGGCTCGAAAAGGGGCCCTTAAAAAAAGCCACAAACCCCTAAACCCCCTTGAGTTAAAGGGTACTGGGCTTTCTGACTGCTGAGGACCGGGCTCCCGACTTGCTCTTGGAACAGATTCTCCGTCGATTTCGGGAGGCAGAGGGTTCAGGGTTTCAGGGGTTTGGGGTTTAGGGTTTGGGGTTGAGGGGTTTGGGACGGTTTGGGTTTAGGGGGTTTAGGGGGTTTAGGGTTCAGGGTTTGGGGTTTAGGGTTCAGGGTTTGAGGGGTTTGGGGTTTAGGGTTCAGGGTTTGAGCGGTTTGGGGTTTTGGGGCTTAGGGTTGAGGGGTTTGGTGTTTAAAGTTAAGGGGTTTGGGGTTTAGGGTTGGGTTTGGGGTTTGGGGTTTAGGGTTAGAGGACCCTGTTTCATTCTTTTCCTCAAGTTGCAAAAACCCAAAGACGAGGAGATGTTACACAAAACGGAAATCGCCTCCAACCAAAGTCGCAATTACACCATGCGTAAAGGTCCTTGGCACATGCTTATCCTCTAAGCAATATACAGCCAGGTAATTAACCCTAAAAGCCCTTCCAGCCCCAAACCCCTGTACCCTCATAGGACGTGTGTGGGCACGTTTTGAGGAATCCTTACGGTATTCTTTGTAGAATTGTAGAACACTTCTAACCTACGTTGTTTGCGGGGGTTCCTTATTATGAATACAGTACTCTATTCGAATTAAGGCCCTTATATTAACCCTTTCGGCCACAGGATGGCCGAGAAACACACCACCTCCGCACAGAGAACAGGCGGCTACACGAGGAGAGCGCCCCCCCGTTACAGCTGTTGCCCTGTTTCGTAGAGGAGGCTACTTGGCAGGGTCGCCTTGTTTTGATTTCCACGATAAAGAACTGAATGGGCTGATCGGTTGAGGTAAGCCGTACTTTCTTTACGCGAGAGCCCAAGGTATAGGGCCTCCTTTAATTTCCATGAAAAGAACATCTCTGCTATTTGGGGGTCTATACCTCGAGGGAGTCGCGACTCAGAGTATGGGACAACCAATCGCGCCATCCTAAACCCTGACCCGCTAAACCCCGAAACCCCAGACTCCAAAACGCCCATACTTCCTAAACTCCTGAAACCGCTGCTAAACGTCCAAGCCAGAACACCCCGAAATGCTGTGTAAACCGTAGGCCCCCATTCATGCGGGTTCGTGAAGCCCATCGTGCGCATGCCAGTGAAAAGTGAGCTGCGAATGCTAGAAGATGTCATACTTCACAAAGCTCTCAAGCTTATCTCCTCTTATGCACCCGTTCTGCTAACCCTTATAGGAGCACAGATGGAATCCCTATAATTAGGGGACCCCAGAATACGGGTACCCCTAATTTTGGGAAACCCCCTTGCGGGAGCCCATAGGGAATCCCTTAGAGAATCATACCTTTTGGGCACCAGGAGGGCCGTTCAGCGATGCTCCGCCTCCACGAAGAGAACAGGCAGCTGCAGGAGGACGGCCCAAAGAACCCTCGGGTGGGGGGAGTAAGGGGTTTAGGTTTAGGGTTTAAGGGAGTAAGGGGTTCAGGGTTTGAGGGGGTAAGGGGTTTAGGGTTTAAGGGAGTAAGGGGCTTAGGGTTTAAGGGAGTAAGGGTTTAGGGTTAGGGCTTCAGGGAGTAAGGGGTTTAGGGTTTAAGGAAGTAAGGGGTTTAGGGTTTAAGGGAGTAAGGGGCTTAGGGTTTAAGGGAGTAAGGGGTTTAGGGTTTAAGGGAGTAAGGGGCTTAGGGTTTAAGGGAGTAAGGGGTTTAGGGTTAGGGTTTAAGGGAGTAAGGGGCTTAGGGTTCAAGGGAGTAAGGGGCTTAGGGTTTAAGGGAGTAAGGGGTTTAGGGTTAGGGTTTAAGGGAGTAAGGGGTTTAAGGGAGTAAGGGGTTTAGGGTTTGAGGGAGTAAGGGGTTTAGGGTTTAAGGGGTTTAGGGTTTAAGGGAGTAGGGGGTTTAGGGTTTAGGGGAGTAAGGGGCTAAGGGCGTTAATGGGTTTAGTGGAGTAAGGGCTTAAGGGCATGAAGGGGTTTAGGGGATCAACTGGTTTAGGGCAATAAGGGGTTTAGGTGATCAAGTGGTTTAGGGCATTACGGGGTTAGGGGAGTAAGGGGTTTGGGGCGGGGGTTCGTGGGAGTAAGGGGTTTAGGGCATTAACGGGTTCAGGGGAGCAAGTGGTTTAGGAGTTTAGGCGGTTTAGGGGTTTGGGTTCAGGGTTCCCCATAAGCCCTGAATACTGCTGGGAAGTGCTGTGCAACCAAGCCCCGCCCCCTACATAAACAACTGTTCAAAAACACTGCAAGCATTCAGCATTTAGCGTTCAGGAGTTCAGGGGTTTAGGGTTTGGTTTAGGGTGCGTTCAAAACCTTACAAAATCTCATTCTAATTCTTCGGGCCCCTAATTGTAAAGCCCTGTCGGCGGACCGTTGCCAGGAGGTCCGGAGGTTAAGGTGTCTTGGCGGGATGTTGCACAGGGGTTCTTTCTACCAGGCTTCCTACAAGTGGTTCTAGGAAAGAGTTCTAAAAGGGTGACATTTAGGGTTCTTTCAGGTTGAGGCTTCTTGGAGGAATTTGGGGGTGTCGGGTTTCGTGAGGGTTTACCGGCCTGGGGTTTATCGTTTAGGAGTTCAGGGGCTGGCATTTAGGCGTCGGTTTTTGAAAGGTTTAGGATGTCTTGTGACGTGCTCAAGTGTAAACAGAGGAGCCTTGCATCGTGTTGTCCTTAATCATAGGAGCACTAAATAACTACCAATCTTATTCCTTAGGGTTCCTTAATGATTACTTATACTATTCAAAGGTACTAAGCGAGCCCCGGAGCTGCTCCAAGAGTTTGGCAACCAGACTCCCCTGACCCTAAACCCTCGACGTGGGACCCTGTAACCGCGTTTGATCTTCCGAGAACCCGACAACCTTGAGTTCTTGATACCCATGAGAGCTTTGAAACAAGTAGCCGGTAGCATGCCAGCCTCCGAATTCCTATCTAGCTCTACTCTGCAGAACCTGCTTCTTCAGTTTGAAGCCGCCTTCTTGGGGTAATCCTACGCCTTAAACTCAGGACCCGAAGCCCTAAACCCCAGGAAACCGTGAATCCTAAGCAGCTAAGGAGATACAGAAACCGCCTCGAGTAATACACACCCTACGAGGAACCCTTACAGCAAAAACGTATGAACCCCCTTTACCGTAGCTCGTAAAGGAATCCTTGCAGTAAGCATCAAAGGAACCCTGAAGGCAACCCTGAAAGGAACCCTTACTTAGAGGATCATGGGACTTAGTAATTCGGGTTATAATTCTTACAGTTACTTATTACCCCAATTAAGGTACTTATAACCATACTTACGAAGTCCCATGATCCTCCAAGTAGAGGACCCCCCCAGGTTACAGCAAGGGCCGCCGCCAAACGATCTGGACAGCACCAGATGGCACAATGACCCGATTCTTGGATCTGAATCTCGAAGCGGCTCTTCTTGTGGTTATAGTCTAACCTCCCAAACCCGACTTTGAAGCTAGCATGAGATGTGAGGGCTGGGTATGTTTTTTCTATTTTTTCTCCTTATGCATGTTTTTGTGCTTATGCGAGCAGCCGGGATAATAGGGTCAGTTAAGCGTTTCTTCAATTCTAACCCCTGCCTCTTCCTTTTCGTCCGTCACTCGAAGCGTTGTTTCAGCACCGAGAGCCCCATACCAAGGTGCAGAACATCCTGATCGAACCAAAAGCTTAGTTCTTCGGCTTTGCGGTTTCGGGCTTAGTAATAAAGATAAGAATAGCAATAAATATTAAACAATAAATAGTACTATTAGCCATAATCATAGTAATACTCATAATCAGAAGTGATTCTGGGTTGGCCCTAAGCCCCAAGCATCGCTGGCTTCGGCTTGTTGTTGTCCTAGGAAGCCTCAATCGTAAAACCCAAACCCAGAAACCTCCGAATTCTCAAGCTCAAAGAGGCGCACAGCCTAAACCATGAACTCCAAGAGCCTTCACCTCCAACCCTGAGGCTCAAACTCCCCAAACTAAGGGCCTGTTTTAGCGGTTTCACGCCGCTTTGGAGTTTCGTTCAGCTTAGCGGTCTCCTGCTCAGGGTCTAGGCTTTGGGTTCATAAAGGCTTTGGATGGCGAAGTTTAAGGGTTTTGGGTTTTGGGTGTTCTGATGTGCACGGATCCTGTTTCAAGACTTTTAGACATCATGTTGGGTGTTCATCATTCAGTAGTGGCTGGTGGACCTAAAAAGCCCTGAACCAGTAATAATCCCGAAAGCCCTAATGCCCTAAACTCCAAAACCCTGAACAACACCAAAAGCCGAAAAAGCAGGCCGAAAGTCCTAAATCCCTAAATCCCTAAAAGCCCTAAACGCCCTAAAAAGACCGAAAGCCCTAAACCTTCTCCATCTCCCTTCCCAGCGGAAGGCCCGGTCCACCACCGGGTAACCCACCACCGGAAAGGTGGCCCGAAGACGGCAGGCCGGTTTGAGGGTTCCTTTGTAAAGGGTTTTGAGCTTAGATCCCCAATAGGGGTTACTAGAAGGGTACTATGATATAGGGGCATTAATAATTGGAATAGGGTTCCTCTGTAAAGGGTTCTGAGCTCAGATCCCCAATACCTATACATACAGCAAAAGCGAGAAAGTTGGAACATGGCTTTAGGAGGATTAGGGCTAGGATCCCTTGTGCTTTACCTTAAGGGCATGAGGAGTCCAATGTTCCAACTTTCTGGCGTCTACTATAACATTTAAACGTTTTGTGTTCTTATAGTTTAGTAGGAATCGGAAAGTTTAGCCTTTTACTTTTGCGGCTTATTGGGGTAGTAAGTGAGGGTTTAGTGTTTAAGGTTTAGGGTTTTAGCTTCTGAGTCTCTCCATATAAGTAAACCCTAAACCCAAAACCCAGAACCGTGTGGGGTTTAGTTTAGAGCTTCGGGTTTCCAGCTCGGGGATGTCTGCTGTGGAACGGGCTCTTCAGGGATTGACTTGTTGTGTTTAGAAGCGTGGACAGTGACAGGCTTTGTTTGGGCTTTGGTGTTCAGGATCTACCGGGCGTTAGGGCGTTAGGGCCAGTGTTTTCTGTTTTGATATTCAGGTTTCGTGGGTTGTTAGGTCCAGTTTGCGGTTTAACATATACACAGATGGCACTATTTGGGCGGTTCAGCTTTGCGGCGTTCTTGGGTTTGTTCCCGGTCTATGAGGGTTTGGGGGTTGTGGGATTATAGAGGCTTCAGGGCCTATAGGGATTATGTTGGTGTCTCTCCGTCTTATGCTTGGGGGATGTGGAGTTTCGGTCTTGATTCTCCAGATCTTCGGGAATAGATCTGAGTCTGGGCAACATGATGCTTGAACCGTACGGTACCACTTGGCCGCAAGTCTTGTAGGGTTTGTGGCTTTGGCGGTTTTTTTGAAGCGGTGCTGGATTTGGGGTTCGCGTTGGCGGTCACTCTTCGGAAATGATGGTATCAATTCTTGGGATGTTGGGGCCTGGTACGGGGCTGGGGTTCAGGCTCGGGTAGTCCAAGCCCTAGAAGCTAGACACACTCAGCCGCTGCCTGGGGTTGAGGATGTACTGGGTTCTTGCTAAGGAATGTTGCATAATGTTACCATAACAAAAGGCTTGATCCTGAAGCCATATACGATTTTGCGGCCCAGCGCTTAACTATTGGCTTCAGGGCGTTGAGGCCTTGGCGTTTCAAGGTTTAGGGCTTTGGGGTCTACTGCAACACGCTGTAACGCGCTGTAAAGTTGTTATTCTTGATATATCGGGCTAGGAATAGTCACTAACTGTCTTAAAAAAATATCCGCAGCAACTGTAGTAAGCAGTCAGTGGTATAATAGTGAGTTATAAGGGTTATACCGTAGCATGTAGTAGCCATAGTAATAAGACTAGAATATAGTAACAGACAACTAATAAATAGTACTTCTCTTATGATATCTCTTCGTTGCGATTCCGAGGTGATGACTGCGATTTTGATCTGGAGGAACCTTAAAACTTTACATCTTTGGGGAAAAGGAGGATGCATAGTCGACCTTTTCGGGTGTGCAGACGCGTTTCTTGGAAAGAAGTACTTGAGCCGGCTACTTTCAGCTGCAAACCCTAAACCCTACAGCGGGAAGAAGCCATTGCACTTAAAAACAACAAACCCTAAACCGATGCCAGCTGGCCGTGCTGGGTATTGACCCTGTGCGGGGGTGGGGGGGGGGGGCTGCCGGGGGGAGGGCTGGGGTCCGTGCCGTTTGGAGCGTCGGCCCCTGCCCCCCTTATCTTTGGTTAGAAGGGAATGAAAGGGGCCCTTCTAAAGCGGTCTATAAGGGTTAGTATAAGGGATCTATAATATAAGGGCCTTAATAATCCTATAGCCTACCTTTGGTTAGTAGGGAATGGAGGAATGGGGTACAATTATAACTACTATTACTACCATTCTTCCAGTCCCTACTAACCAGCGGTAAGCCCCTGCGTATGTCCGGGGGTGTGGCTGTGGCGCAGCTCGGAGCAAAGCTGGTGTGGAGAGGTTTGAGCACTAAGAATAGTACCCTTACAGGGAACCCTACTACAGAATAAGATAGTAGCTTTAAGAACCAGAAGTCCTTATAACAAGGATCCTATTATTTGGGGTACTTTATTAGGGTCCCCTATTTTCGGAAACTCCCAAGTGAAGCTGAGGCACGAAAATGATCCTAGACCCGGAAGCTCTAATGCAAAGCCTTAAACTCCAAAGCACTCAGCCCCTCAACCTAGTAAGCCTTAACTCAAGTACGAGACGGGTAATTTAAAAGATACCACTATGTTGGGGGTTCCCTATTACAAGTAGTATAAAAATGCCGTAGAACGGTATTTGAATTGTAAAGCCCCCCTCCCCCCAGAAGTAACTTTCTAAATGCAACAGGTCTGCCCTTGGCTTAGAGATGCGGCAGGAGGACGTCAGGCCGGCTTTCCGGAGTTTCCATCGCGGTGTAAACGGGGTTCAGGGTTTAGGCTTTAGGGTTTAGGGTTTTAGGATTCAGGCTTTCGGAGTTTCTGTCGGGGTTTGGAAGGTTTTCTTTAGAGCCCATGCTATCTGAGGTTCAAGGGTTTTGTGGGTTTTCACAGATGGCAACTACAGCGATGATTATCCATTCTGACTCCGAATGTCGCCCCCTGCTCCAAGTAAGCCTTGACGCCCAAAAGCCCTAAACCACAATCATAAGGCAAAACCCCTCACAGAACCCTTGTAGCGACCCTTGTAGCAACCTTCCGAGTAACCCTTCTCGCAGCTCTTATCAAAGAAACCCTTGTAGTAACCCTAAACTCTAAACATGTGAACGCAAAAGTTGAGAGTACTGTTGAGGCCGACTGCCCATCTTCCTCCGCCGCCGTGGTCCAGCGAGGTGCGAAACTGCCAGGCTTAGGGTTTAGTGTTCAGGTGTTTGGGCGCTCCGGGTATAGGCCCTTAACGTTCATGGGTTCCAGGGTTTAGGCTTGTGGTTGAGGGTTTACGTTGGGGCTTTGTGTTTGGGGTTCATGGACTGCCCTCTTACCACCTCCAGTAAGCTCTAAACTTTACACCGAAGGAGTAAAGACCAGAGCTGCCAGGATGGTGTTCAAGAGCACAGTGGGACGTTTTCGTTGGAGCCGCAGACAAAGTCAGTAGGTTCTGTCAAGTTCTGAGGCTTCTAGTTTCTCCCAATCGGGGTTGCAAAAGACCCCTGTCTTGTGACACGGGCTGATTGGCGCGATCATTGCTTTAGGGCCAACGAGGAAGTCCCTTTCTTTAGGGTCTAAGTTAAGCTGCTTCCCATTTTGACAGAACCCCGAGCTCAAAACGGCACTCCACAGAGATCCTCACTTGAACGATCCGGGGCGTTTGGTTAGTCGCTCTTATATTTTAGGTGTGCAGCTGCCCAGGTCGGGGTCGAAACCGGTCGAAACCCTGAACCTTAAACTCTCAAAGCCCTCACACTTTCATCCTAAAGCCGTAGCCTAAACCCTATAACCTGAACCCCAGGATCCCGCTCCGATGGTGCGTTCCGCGGCTCCGATAGTGAGAGCGCCGCCGCCGCCGCCGTCGGCTTCGCCGACAAACTTGCAGCAGGGAGGCGCGAGTAAGGGTTTTGGCTTTGGGGTTGAGGGTTTAGGGTTTGGGGTGTTAGGGTGTTTGAGGTGTTGGTGTGTTTGGGGTTTAGAGAGTTTCCATAAATCTAAGGCTTGTGAGAAGGGTCTCTCTAAGGGCTGCCACAAGGGGTTACTAGAGCATACATGGGACTTAGTAAGTAGGTTATAATTAGGGTTATAAGTCCCCTAAGTGGGGTTATCCTAATTATAACCTACTTATAACCTTACTTACTAAGTCCCATGATCCTCTAAGTAAGGGCTCCTCTCAGGATGCCTTTGCGTTTTTTTTTTATAATGGTTTCGCTAATGATTCTAGAAAAGAGTTGATGCAGAGAATCCGAGTGGTTTCTACAAAGGTCCTCTTCAAGGGTTAGCTACTGTCAGGGGTTCTACAATGGAGTATATCGGAAGTTTTGTGTTGAGGGGATTTTGTGGGATGGTTTAAAGTCGAATACAGCCTTCATACAACTGTATGGCTTGTTGAATAGGGCCTTCACTGCAGTTTATTTACCATCTTCATTTCGGGGTCTCTCTGTTAAAGTGGCACAACGGGAAAAACCTATGGATGTGGATCCCTACAAACCCCGCAACATCCTGTACAATCCTCAGAAGACTTAGAAATAGAAACGACCACCTAATTACAAAGCTTCTCAAGCTCTATCAACCGCGATAAGCACCCGTCATAAGGGACCCTATTTTGACAAGTCCACAGGTGTGAACTTGGGCCTACCACAAGACGGCCTCTTGGCGAATCTGATGCTGAGGACTGTTCTTAGTTATTGTTGTTGTTTGGTTTTATTGGTGTCGGTTTTGGGTCTTGGGGCCATGGGATAGTTGTTTTGAGGATCTTTGAAGGTTTTTTATCAGAGTGTATGTGGTTGTATCCGGATTTGCAAGGTCCAAAACCGTATACACTATAAATCTCTGTGGGACCCTAAACCCAAACCCTTAACCTTAAACCCAAACCCTAAATCCTAAACCCTGTGAACGCAATGAGTGGTGAATCAACCACGCCTGCCCTCCCCATGGGTATTTCCGATGAGCAAACGGATCTGCTGGTCGAAAAAGGGGCGCTTAAAAAAACAAAAAACCCTGAATGCAGATCCAACCCAGGGCTTGCCCTCGGAGGTCCATCCTTCGCATGGCGCACCAATGCCCCCGAATTCGTGCCGGGCCGTGCAACAGGCACCATGGGCTTCATGTGTATGTATCTATATCTATATATATATATATATATATACATACACACATATATATATATATATCCACATACTAGTATCTATTAATACATAATGTATATATATATATATACATACATATATAGATGTATATATGTACTAGTACCTGTGAGTGCATATTGCTATGTGTATATAGATACACACACACACACACACATCTTCATGGTGTGGGTTGAGCATGCAGGGTTTCGGATTCGTGGAAAGTCCTCAGAGCTGCAATGTTTTGAGGCACAGTCGTTGAATATGCTGTCGTAGAAAGATTTCGTAGACGGATGCCATTTTCTAGGGTAGCCGTCACCCCGGAGTTTTTGTGCTCTAGGTTTCATTACCATACGAGTACTATTGGGGTTCCCATAAGGGGTTGTTATAAGGGATTAGTATGGTTCCTTTGTTTTTGGTTCGCTAAGACCAGGGGGCACATGGCTTAAGTGTACTTTAAAAGCATCTTAGTGGTCAGGCTTTATATGAGGGTTCGACCCAACTATCTTGAACGCCCCTGATGGCTGGCTGGAAGCCTGAAAGCACGAGTCTATGTTCCGGGCTTCTTCAGCCTCAACTTTCAAGGACGCAGGAAGCATGCTTTCTATTTCAGTTGGCGGCCGAGAAGGCAGTTTGTAACCACTTGGAGTATGCATATAAGATGCCACCAGAAGCAGAAGACAAGTGTTCCTTCTGCGCCCCATGCTTGCAAGCAATCCCTAAACCCTAAACCCTAAGCCCCTGAGCCCTAAACCCCAAACCCCAAACCCCTGAACCCTAAACCTTGAAGGCATGCCAGTGTACGATGTTGACTCCCACCAGGCCTTGGGACGGTGAGCTTGGGGTTCAGGGCGTTGTAAAGGCTGTTTAGGGCCTCATGCAGTTGTGTATGGCTTCTTAGTGGTTTAGGGGGCAGGGGTTAGGGTCTTAGGGTTTTTTTAATTTTTTTCAGGTTTTCGGCTTTGGGCTAGCGATACTAGTACTGTATACCCGGAGCCTCCAATCCCACGGCCACAGAATTTTATGAAGTTCCGGTCATGGCATTTTGCTATCACCATCATCATCAACATCATCACCGTCATCGTCATTATAGCCATTATCGCCATCATTGTCATCATCATCATCATCATCATCATCATCGTCGTCTTCATCGTCTTCATCGCCATCATCGTCCTCATCGTCATCATTATCAACCATGCTCCTCCTCCTCCTCCTCCTCCTCCTCCTCCTCCTCCTCCTCCTCCTCATCACATCACCATCACCGACATTATCACCATAACCTGCACTACGCTCATCACCATCATCATCGTCGTCGTCGCTGCGGTTATAATCATCTCCATCATACCGGGTGCCCTCGTCGCAGTCACCTTTACGCTCATCTCCATCATCATGTTCTTTTTCCTCCCATCATCACCATCAACTCATGGTTCTCTCCGTCAATCAACGTCAAGGCCGTTGTCAAGATTAGCTTTCCCCGCATCCAAGTCTGAAAACTTCGTGTGCCCGAGCTTTAAACCCTAAAGGCCACCTACAGACCTTCAGCCCTAAACCAAATGCCCTCAACCTACACTGCATCAGACTGAGTCGTGAGTCGTACCAGCAGAAATCTTTAGTCATGGCCGGGATACTACTTGCAGACTTGCAATCATGGAGCCTCTCAGTCCCCAGCTCTTCATTATCAGACTCCGCACGCTTAACTGCCGTGGCCGCAAGGAAGCTGGACATGCAAGCCCGTCAGTGCTTGTACTTCGTATGTACATCTCGTAGAACGCGTGGCAGAAACCATATTTATATCTACATCCTCGGCCATGAAGTAAAGCCCTTACATGGGCATTGAAAAGTCATGAACCCCAAACTCTGAGCTTAAGCCCTGAACCTTAAGCCTCATACCCCGAACCTAAACCACAAATCAACCCCCAAAGCCCCAAAGCATTTATAGTACCTGTAAGAAGAAGCCATTCTGGAACCCCTTTTACAAGCCTACCATTCACAACCTCCAAGATCAAGTCCACTAACACACAAACCTTTAAGCCCGTAGGCCTTTGAGTTAACCCTTCGCAGAACTTCCCGCATCAAGCCCCCCACTCAGTAATAGTTGAATATCATTCATAATGCAGATATCTTAGGACCTTAATAGTAGCCATATTGTAGACTCTTACCCCGTAGGAGGAGGAGGGTGTGAGGACGCCGTCTGAGGATGACGTCCCTCCATCGGAGCTCTGGCCAAGTTGATGTTTATGGCCTCCCTGAAGTATAATGTATTACTATACTATACTATACTATACTAGACTATACTATGATATACTATACTATACGCTGAAGTGATATAGAGATGGCTCCCTGAAGTGATATGGGTGGTTGTCAAAGTTATGGTCCCTTTTTGGGTACCCTAAATAAGAGGTGCCGTATTATAATAGGGACCCAAAAAGGGACCCTAATGTTGACAACTACCCATATCGAACATGGAACAATTGCCAACAGTATTCCAGACTAGATTATGTTTTGCTAATACCAACACCATATCCTATTCCAATTGTTAAGGCTCTACATTGCCTAAGTGTAGGGGCTTCTAGAAGGGCTGCTGTAGGGAATTTCTTTGCGGGATTCCACGATGGATTTGCCGTATACTGTGTACTTTTCAGGTCTCCTTCTTGAGGCGTGAACACGAGGAACGTGTGGGATCTTCATTATTTTGTGTTCTGAGGCACCTCACCCAGAGTTGGTGTGTATTCTAGGGCGCTAGGGTTAACGTCTCTGGGATGCGTTGGCTTAGGATCTTTGGGATGACGGCGTAGGGTTTAAGGTCTTCAGCTCTTCGGGATTCTAGGGAATCAGGTTTTCCTGTGTTTGAAGCAGCTCGGGGTTTCAAAACTCCTGAGTGTTACCTGGGGGATAGTGGGTTTCGGATCAGGGGTTTAGGGTTTGGGGGTTTAGGGGGTTTAGGGTTTAGGGTTTCGGGGGTTTAGGGTTTAGGGGTTTAGGGGTTTAGGGCTTCGGGCTTCCTAGATTATTATCTGTTGCGTTGAGGGTATAGGGGTATGGGATGGGAAGGGACCGCATGTTGGAAGCTTTACTTTTGGAGCGGATTTTGAAAAAGGCGGAGTGTGTGGGTTTCGCACAGCGTCTGTTCCTAAACTAAGCTCTTAACCTGAAACCCTAATCCCAAAAACCCAACTAGAAGCCGTACAGAGCCCTCATGCAATATCTGAAAACACCCGATGACAACCGTATATGTGCGTGAACAAAATGTATGTATGCATATATGTATATAAACTAGTCATGGTGATAGTAATACTCGCGTTATCACCAACAGTACACCAAGAAGCCCCTAGACAGAGTTTGTTAAGCTTGGTTCCCTAGGCTCGGAGTCTGAAGCCCAGGATAGCCTCTTGTGAAATTTGAATATGGAACACCCTTCGAACCGTAATTTTGGGGTTTAGTGTATGGGGTTTGGGGCTTGGGGATTAGGGCAGAAGATATGGGTTTCTAATCGCATCTCGCAGCACTTGAAACGAGCTTCAGCCACAAAACCCTGAATAGCGGCATCCCGGCCCCTGAAGAAGATACGCTTCCACGACATTCAACCTTAAACCCTAAACCATCCTAAACCGCAACATCCCAGGAGCCAATGCCCTCCATGAACTTCGCCCCACCGCCGGGTCTACCGCCGGGTCTGGGACGTCCGCCGAGCCCCAGCCGCGTGGAGGGGAGGCCATGGTGGGGCTGAGACTATAGGGGCCTTAATAATTAGAATAGGGTTCCATTAAGGGTTCCTTCAAAGGTTTCTGTAGGGGATCTACAAAAGGGTTCTGTAATGTAGGGGCATTAATGATTAGAATAGGGTATTGGGATACATTATATAATAACTATAATAAGCAACCCCCCAAAAAGCTTTTGAAATTGTTGAAGTCCTTCTATATTAGGGTCGATAGGGCTTGTACTCCTGCGGTTGACAGGGTCTGTAGGGTTTACAGGGCTTGTAGGGTTCATAGGGTCTGTATTGGGTCTATAGGGCTTATGGAGATGGCTGATGGGGTCCATGGGGCTCGTAGGCTGCCTAGGGCTCGCACTGCTTTGGGTCTAGGTCCTAGGTGCCATGAGACTTTCATCGGGCCCCCTGGATTGCCTTTTTGGGTTTTCGGGTTGGTTTGGGTTCGAAATTTAGTTTTGGTGTTGTGGCCGTTGGTAGTGTTCGCATCGTTGCTTGGGGTATATCTGTAGCGATAGACACCTATTTGTATTCACTACCTAGTACAGTTCACGCACCTTCAAGTAGAATTATGCTTCATGTTGGACGTCCTTTCCTCGCTGTTGCCGTCATCTCCAGCCTAGTTAAGCCCTGAACCCGAACCTTCAAGCGTCTCCTCTGCACCGGGGTCCAACAGGCCCGCATACAACTTCGAGAGAAGTCTGAAGCAGTGTGAAACCCACACCGCAAGGGATGAACAAGCTACGCCCCAACCCTGCTTGGAGGAGCGGGGATAAACCCTAAAAAGCCTTTGTCCTAAACCCTCTACCAGAAAGCCCCAAAGCTTGGACCAGAAGCGCTAAGCCTGTCCTTGTTGAGCAACTGTCACAACACACGTAACCTCAATACCGAACCCACGTAGTAGGATCCTTCAAAAAAAGTTCCTCATGAGAGATGTGCTAGAATATACCCCAAAGCCATATTCAAGTGCTTGAGGCTAAACCCTAAACTAGAAAGCCTACACCCTAAATCCCGAACCCTGAACTAGGATCCTTCCAGAAGGATCTGTGGATCCCAGAGTTCCCGATGCATCGAGCAACCGTCGAGCCCTGCAGTCAGAGGCATGCAAAATCCTGGAAAAAGCCCTTCAAAGACCCAGAAAGACCCTAGACAAACCCTGATTTAAAGCGACCGAAAACAGACCCTATTTGAGAGAAAGCCTAGGCTCGTCAAGACCTTCAGAAAGCGCTGTTCACAAAAAAACCAACCCTCGAAAGCCTTGTTCCAGCTGTTAAGGCCCTTAGAGGAGCCCTTACAAAAAGCCTTAAAGGAACCCATAGAAAAGCCCTTGAACCCTCAACACCATTAATATAAGTCTAAATGGAGCCCCGATAATAGGATGCCCAGAAGGAATCCCTTTCTGTGGCAAGGCATCATCCGCCCCTGAACAGCTTCCATGCCCCTCTCGGCGGTGATGCGGTGTCAGTTGGCGTTCTGCGCCAGCCGCCGTTTCCGTAGTTCGGACTTTCTGTGTGGGTTTAGGGCTCCTGGGGGTTTCGAAAGAATCTTGGGGCTGAATTTCGTCTAGCTCAGTCCCCAAACCCTACTTCAGCCTCCATAACACCAAAGCCGATGCTTCAAGATCTTGCGCCGCGTTCCTCAGGGTTTCGTTGGCCGGTTCCCAGACAAGAGTTGCAGCTTAGCGCGCCTGAAACGGAGGGGTGCAGCAACTACCGCAGGACAGAAAAAGCGTGGCTTCTGACTCAATATGTACTTCAGGGTTAATGTACCCCACGCCGACAACTTGGTGGTCAAAAAGGCTTAAATCCTAAATCCTACACCCATCATGGGTTTTGGGTAGACCAATCAAGAGAACCTTGGGGTTAGGGGTTTAAGGGTTAAGGGTTTATAGGGTTTAGGGTTTTTAGGAGTTTTAGGGTTCAGAGTTTTCGAGAGATTCCTGTGGAGAGACAGACTTCGAGCATACAGGGGCTGACTTCGTAGATGATACGAGTCGTTTTTCACCGGAGTTTTCGAAACTTAGGGATACCCTATTTAGGGGTCCTTATTTGTAAAGGTTCCTGCTATGTAGGGTACTGCATTAGGGTCCCCTATTTTCGGAAACTCCCAGGATCTGAAGGCCGACAGACTTAGCTCCCGAACCCGAAACAGTTCTCTGAATGGGAAGGCCTTAGAGAAGATCCGCCTTATGGTAGCTTCTCAGCCTTTTGCAAGCAGTATGAGAACACAGTTCTCGGTGAATGTCAATTCTGTCGTCTCTGATGTGCAGTTACTTCGGCTTATTTACTTCGTAAGTTTCATTGGTAGTGGACAAATCAGTCAGGGTGCTTCTGGATCGTCCGTGTGGCATCCTGAATAAATCCGAAAGTGCACAAGCCAGACATACCGAAGCCCTGAACCCTGAACCCTGAACCCTCGTCCTCGTGGCCGCGCTATGAGTGGTCAGGGTTGAGATGTTTAGGGTTTCGGGTTTAGACTCAACCCTACAGCTTAAACTCCTAAACCTTATATAGAAACCATCCCCTAAACCCTAAACCCTAATAGAAACCCCGGTAGATACACTTAAAGGATTCCTTAAGCTGCAAAAGGCTCCGAGCCAGGTGTCTCAAGATCCGGACATGAGCTCCTTGTTGGTCACCTCAACCCAGACCCCCCGGGGAGGATCCAAAAAGTAGATCCCGTAATGGGGGTTCCTGTAAAGTACCCTTAGTAGCATAGGGCCCCAAAATAGGGGATCTACTTTCTAGATACTCGCGGGGGTCTGGGAATGTAAAGCTACTAACTATTTTTGCCATTTGCAACTTGCAGCGGTACACCCCGCACCCATACCTTCGGGCTTCGGATATTTGGGATTTTCCAAAAATAGGGGACCCTAATATGGTACCCAAAATCATAGGATCCTTACTATAAGGATCCCAAAATAAGGTACCCCTAATTTTTGAAAACTCCCATTTGACGGTTGGTCCCTGCCCGACCATCGTCTGCAGGACATGTCGGAGCTGGACGTGTGCAACAACCAGAGTCCGCTGCCTAGCCAGTTGCTGATTGGTGCAGAGACCTTAAACTCAGTTCGAGAAGGAGCCCTTAAAAAAACCTTAGCAAACATGCTTCTCCGGTTTTGGGCTTGAAGGTACGCTTCAGGATTGCCTGAGGTCGCTGCAGTACGTTTGAGTGGTGTTTTACAGGATTTGACTTCGGGTGTACGACAGGATTACTGGCATGATGTCGTCCGAGGAACTGGCCGAAAGCAACCCGAAGAGCCATGTACACTTTAATCGAAAATCAATAGGGTCCTGGAAGGGGTTTATGGTTTTTAGGTGGAATCTACCGTAAGGGATCCCTGGTTTGATTCGAGGCACATTCCTGCAGTAGGGGGTCTTGCATGTCGCACAGAGAGTGGCGCAGATTTGTAGACAAGACAGCGTGGCCGCAAGAGGAGCACCAATGGTTTCTCTTCACGCTGAACTCTAAAACCCTAGAGCCCTATATAACCCTTTCTTTAGGTCTTAGGGTTTAGGGCTTAGGGGTTTGGGGATTTAGGGTTTAGGGTTTCAGTGTTTCAGGGTTTTAGGGTTTTAGGGTTGGAGGGTCCGAGGGTTTAGGGGGCTTAGGGTTTAGGATTTGCAGTCTCAGATTCCTTTCAAGCGAGGATCGAACTACCCTATACCAATAACAGGGCTCTTTTCGTTCCTTGGTTTTTTCTTCGGATCCTCATAAGCGGCAAACCCTAAGGCCTGTAATTCTGGGACGAAGCTAAAGTACCCTCGAGCCCTCAAACCCACCGAATACACTCCCAACCCCGAACCACCACGGCCCCTAACCCTAAACCCTAAACCCTAAACCCTAAACCCTAAACCGAAGCTCCGCAATCACCGAATTCTTCAGGCTGCCGCGTGGGCTGCATTGACGGTGCCTGGGGCACCTGGGAGGCAAGGTCTGCTTCACCAGGGTTTAAAGGGTCAGGGGTCGTCGGGTGTTCAAGGCTTTCGGGGCTCTAGGGCTTTTCTTTTCGGGGTTCGGGTTTAGGATATAGGGTCTTAGTGTTTCTGTTAAGGGGTTGAGGGCGGGCTCGGGGCCACAGGGCTTCGGGGCTGTTTTTGTGTTTGGTGTGAGGTTTTCGGGTTTGGGAACCGTTTCCCTGTCAACATCTGAGAGCAAATACAATCGCAAATACATGAGGCCTCCGTTTCTCCGGCAAAGTCGCCCGATCCCATCTCTCAACAAACGCAAACCCCAAACTCCGCAACTTCAAACCCAAACGACCTGACCTCTTCAAACTCCGGCAACTTCACCCTTAGCCCAAGCCTGACTTCCCAAATGCTGAAACCCAGTCAGAACATCCCCCAAACCATAAATACCGAAACTTTAAACCACCCTCAACACCTACAGCACCCTCAGAATCAGCCCTATACTAGATCCCAAACGAATCCTCAAAGGAACCCTATCATAGATCCCTAAAAACAACCCATAGAGGAACCAACCCTAAAGCCCTAAACCCTAAGCCCCAAACCAAACCCTAAACCCCAAACCCTAAACCCTAAACCCTGCCCTAGACCCTAAACCCCGAACCCTAAACCCCAAACCCCGAACCCTAAACCCCAAACCCCAAACCCTAAACCCCAAACCCTAAACCCCAAACCCTAAACCCCAGCTCCGAAGTAGGAGTGGAGCAGATGCTCCGCAACCTGCGCACCGGCCTTCAGGCCCGTAGTTGGCGCCAGTAGTCCTCAACTTAGCGATTCAGGGTTTCGGGTTTAGGGGTTTAAGGGTTTAAGGGTTTAGGGGTTTAGGGGTTTAGGGGTTTAAGGGTTTAGGGGTTTAGGGGTTTAGGGGTTCAGGGGCTCAGAGGCTTAGGGGTTTAGGGTTTAGAGTTTTAGGGGTTTAGGGTTTAGGGATATCTTAGAGTTTTGGGATCTTTGGATTTTTCTTGTACGGAAGAAACGTTAAATCATTACACATTCCTGGTAGGGATTTGGAGTCTGGGTGCAGAGGCCCTGAAAGTGAGTCAGTGAATGGTTCAGGTCTTTGGATCCTCATGTCCTGGGACTTGGTCAGCCTGCTTTTGGGGTTTTGTCCTTCTTCTTCTTCTTCCTGATTCCTCTCATTTTTAGTATTCATAATTATCATGGATTATTTGTATCATTATCGTTACCATTTTTAGCAAGTGCCTTGTGTGCACGGCGAGACCTGTGGGAGAGTGCTCTTTTTGTGTCACTTGTGTAGCACCTGTACCATTAATACGAGTTCAGGCTATCTCAGCCTCAAGCCATCTCCAACTAGTGCCTAGCTGTATTCATCAAATTTGTGCTTACACTCTGCTTAGTTTGAGCCTGTAAGTAAACCCCGCACCCGGAACCCCAAACCCTCAAAGTACTCTCTTTGGTCACCCCTGTAGCTCCCTTCAGGGAGCCCCGAACAAACCCTGAACCCCGCAACCTAAACCAGAGCATCGGCGAGGACACGCCATCGTGATCAGGTGCAGAGTCCGAAACGCGGCTGCAAGGGGATGGGTTGAATATAGGGGCCTTAACAACGAGAGTCGATTTTCGGGGTAGGTATACCATAGCTCAAAACCAACATGGAGACGGCCAAAGGATGTGATTACTAATCGTTTACACCCGTCTACTAGCGCCTCTAAGTTGAGGGCTTTGGAGCTTAAGGTCTAGTTACTGAGTCTAGTCCCTAACCTAGCGACGAGGTGAAGCGACCAGCGGCAATCCGGGGAGACGACAAGGGTGCAAAGAAGTCGAAGAAAAGCCGAAGCCGCCGCCCCGACCGAGACGGATGCCGGGAACGAGGGGACTGGGCTGAACAGTCAGATGTCGCTGATTCCGACAAGAGGGACAAGGGGAAGGGCGAGAAATGGGCAAAGATGCGAGCTTCCGGTCAGGTTCTGTCGCACATCACCGAGGCGTAGGACGACCCACCGACAGAAGTCCGTGCCCGAAGCTACAGGACGGCTATCATAAGCCGGCTTTTCGCCAGACAGGCCGATGGCTCGTTGAGGCTCAAGAGTGCCGTAGGAGAGTTTCCGAAAATTAGGGGTACTGTATTCTGGGGTCCTTATAATGAGATCCTGCTATTTAGGGTACTATATTAGGGTCCCCAATTTTCGGTAACTCCCGTATGAGCTGCTTCAAACGTGCAAGCCTTGTGAAGCACCGGCATGCTTGCAAAGCCTTTGCCGCCTGTAGCCTCCGCTTAACAGAGCAAGGGGCCTTGGATAAACCCCAAACCAAATGGTCAACAGACCCTAAACTCAATAAGCCCTGCAACCTGAATCCTGCTTTCCTACATCTTCCTAATCCGACAGACCTTGACCGGAGCGGGCTGTCTCAGGATCCTTGCAACGAAGATCCGCCGATTTCTCACAATTCTAGGCCGTAAGCCATAGGTCTGTCGTGTAAGACGGGGCCTTCAGGTGGATGAGATGCGGATGCCCTCATTTCAGAGTGAAGGGTTTTGAGAGAAGTCAAGAGATGAGTATTCGAATAGGGTTTGAGAGTACACTATACTATTATTGAAAAAGGAACCCCCAAAAAACCCTAATCTAATTATTAAGGCCCCTAGATTCAACCGTAAACCCTCAACACTGCATTCCTAACGCCCCGGCCAGCCATACCTCGTGAACAACTTGCATTGAAAAGCCTCACAGAGCCCTTGTCGATCCATTGACAATCCCCGATGCGTCCCTCATAGATCTCCCGTAAAGCCTTGCACGCCGAAGAGCCTGTAATGTAGAAGCCTGAGTTATTACCAACAGGTAGGAGCCCATTCTAAGTATCCAGGCCACGATGTTAAACCCCGGTAGTGACAAGAAGCCCTCAAAGAGCCAACGAGCCGTTAAAGAAGCCCTAGACCCCTAAGCCCTAAACCACCACACCCCTAAACCCTAAAGCCTAAAAGCCCCTAAACCCCAAACCCCTAAACCTCGAAACCCTAAACACCAAAACCCTAAACCCTGAGCCTGATTCTAATTCTAAAGTCGCGTCCTGAGGAACCACTGTGGCAAACCTGCGCTGGGACTTCAGGTCGCTTCAGAGTTCAGGGGGTTTTAGGGTTCAGGTTTTGGGGCTTTAGGGTTTACGGTTTGGGGCGTGGTTATATAGGCTTCAGATTTTGGGGGCTTGGGGGCTGCCTGATGCCCTGTGACACCTACCTTTTTCTGTGGCCCCTTCTGTACGAAGTCCTTACATACAGTAGACGCCCAAAAGTTGGAAACCCAACAGCCTCAATCCTGAAGAATAACGTATAGACAATCCCAACACTATTTAGTCTTAATCCGGTTTCCCACTTTATGGGGTTTAGCATAAGTCCTTAAGAAGGTAGGTTGTTTGCATTAGCCATCTTCGAGTCTTGATTTCTTACGGATTCTCCAAGTTGGTTACTTCAGAAACTGAGGACGTCTACGAGGCTATAAGGGCGTACCACACTGGGGTCAATTGCGGAATGAGATTTGGATGTCTATGGAATAGGGAATATGAGTTCTCAAAAACATTGAGAAAGAAGCCAAGCATGGCAATAGGAACGGAGGCTCAGACAATGTGACAGCCAACAGTAGCACGAGCATGGGGAACCCGACTCCGGTCGAACGGTATTACTGTAGGCATTGAGGGTTGCTAGGCATGAAGGGGGGTTAACCGGTGTGTTAGGGTTTTCGGGGTACGGGTCCGCAGATTCAGGCTTTGATTCTAAAGTCCACTGTATTGCCATTGCACTTATGTTAGTGAGGTGACTGTCATAACCGTTACGTTAAGCCGGTTACACTGGGTAAGCATCCCTATTCTTCCTTCTACTGTTGATGCTGTTGTTGCTGGCGTCTTGGTTGTTCGGCTCATTCCGGAAAAAACGATGTTGATGCTTGTTGCTGCAACATGTTGGTGGGTGGCCGTCATGCTGAATGACGCGGTGATGAACATGGCGATGATTATCGCGACGCTCATGGTTAGGAGGCTGATAGCGATAGTGACGGTTGTCTTCCAAAACATGATTGCCATGATGCTGGCAAAGCTGAGCAGCATAATATAGGGGCCTTAAAAATGACGGAAGTGCAGCAACTTTGATGCAAGTAGTCTAGATGCCGAGAAAACTAGTGTTGGTGTCCTTGTATACTCACTCATCCTACAAAGTTATGCTATACTAGACCGTGAAACCCTATTGTAAGTACTAAGACTCCTCTGTCAGTTGGCTTCGGATTTGTTGCTTCAGTGACTAGTAAGCAAGACCTATTTTGTGGTGTAACGTCGTAGAACATTCATCCAAAATAAGGCTAGGCTCGTGCTCCAGATGTCAAGTAGCCAACCTGTTTGTGGGCCCAGTATGAGGACCCCGATTTCAATCTCTGTAAGCTCGCTCTAACTCTCTCTCGCTTTCTCTCGCTGTCTCTCTCTTTCTCTCTCTTTCTTTCTCTCTCTCTCTCTCTCTCCCTCTCTCTCTGTCTCACTCTCTCTCCCTCTCTCTCTGTCTGAGCTCTCTGTCGCGCTCGCAGCATGCAGTTCTCTGCTTTGAAGCTGACACGTGTGTTTGCGAACCCACTCAGCTGCAGCTTCATTCTGCCATGCTTGATCACATCTGGACATTAATTAGTGGATGAGCGGCTAGAGGCACATTGTCTGGTATGAGGTGGAGCTAGGAACGAGGGAATAAACAATCGCTGGTCTTACGGAATGTTTGGCACGGACGAAGCATGCGCAGAGCCAGCCCAGTTTTAAGGAGCAATGGCTGACCAGCTAAGTGTGCTCAAAGGAAAGGGCAATACCGCTCTCAAGAATGGGCAGATTGATGACGCGGAAAAATATTACCTCCTTGCTTTGGGGGCGGAACACGTGACCGAGGACTCTATGCTTCGAAGGCAGATTCAGCAGAACTTGGCGCTTTGTAAAATCAAGCGAGGAGCTTGGCAGGAGTGCGTGGACATTTGCACGACGCTGATCTCCCAGGGCTGCGGGGACATCGCCAAGGTGCAGTATCGGATGGGCCTGGCGCTGGCCAAGCTGGGACGGAAGCTCGACGCTTTGGGCCACATCGAGAAGGCTCGCCATCTTGAGCCGACGGACAAAGCAATTGAGCAACTCCTGGACAGTGTGCGCAGCATCGAGCCGAATGAGCAGACGGCCCCAGTGCCCATTTTGGCGCTGATGGCTGTTCACATGAGCAGCACTGCTCGGTATGAGCATTTCCGGTCCTGCCTCAAATCGATTGAGGATCAGACCGTTGCCCCAACTCTAGGAATATCATGGAGTGCCACAAGTGAGGAGATTGCAAGCAAAGTTCGTGCCCTGTTGGAAGTTGCGAGGCCTGCGTGCTGCAAGATCTGTCTAGAGCAGCCCCGACGGTTGTCGCAGTTTCAGCACTATCGAATTCTGACAGAGCGGCTCGTAGCCACCCAGTCTGCAAGCACACCCTGCTGGGTCGTGTTTTCTGATGACGACGATTTTTGGGATCCACAGCGCATAGAGGCTTGCGCTCATGAGGCTGGAGGTTTTGATGCCGAGTCATCAGTACAATCTGTGGTCTTCCCATGGTTTGCAACGCGCCCGGATGGAATCCGTCCTTCTTCAGTAGAGGACATTGAGGACGGACTCCGAAAGGGAGTGGTGCAGATAAAGGGTGGCTTATCCCAGGAAGAAAGGAAGGGTGCAACTGTCCCATTAAGTGAGGACGAGTATTGGATGTATGTTGTACGCCTTCAAGTTCATGAGAAGTTTTTTGAACAGGCCAGCGACACACTGCTGGCATGTGAGTTCTGTGACATGGCATATAAGTCGTTTGTGAGGTCGTTCCAGAAAATTGATGGAGGGACGATTTCTATCTGCTTCCATCCGGATTTGCCGTGGATGTACTTTTACCACTACGATGAGACAAAGCAAGCTTCATCGTCTGCATCGTCGTCAATGCAGGACGGGCCGACGGTAGCGGACCAAAGAGCAGCCGCCAGGCTGTTGCCAAGCCTTGCCACGATCCCTGGGTGTGGACTCGATACTGCGGAGGACGCAGCCTATGCTTCGGCACTAATTCGCAGATCTGTGGCTTTGTGGTTCTGCACTAATTATGCATTTTTTCAGGAGCCTCACCTTCCATTATGTGAGTCATTCGTCAACTATTTCTCCAACTTCATGCCAGTCCGTGCCCGGGACAAGGTATCAACCCAAGCAGTGAATTGGTTTCTGCTTGTTGCCCAACCTCCTTGGAGTCATCTGCAGCGTCTGGGAGCCACTTCAGACTTCAGCTCCTTGGAGCAGACGTGCAAAGAGAAGGCAGCTGCCGCCATGAGCACTTCAAAGCTGTTGGGATTGGGTTGCCAAAGGCCTTGAACATAGGTGCTACGCGTTCAAGGAAGCCATCTTATTTGCAATATACCGATATTAGTGGAAGTGGCCCTAGTTCAAGTTCCTCAATGGCAACCCAGACAAGCAAGTAGGATCCGACCCAGTGCTGCATCACAAAGAGGCTTGACGCGCATTTTCTCGATCGGCGGTCTAAAGTACAAATCCTACAATCTAAGGCCGTAACCGCCATGGACTGGAACAGCCCCGAAACCCCCACGTCCGTCTGAGCAACAAACCCCTCCTTGCCTTTCGATCCGAGGACCCCGAATATGGAGATCTGAAGAATCAGCATTAATTTCCCTTCTAGTCCCAATACAACTAGACTCATTCACTTGTGTTTTTGCCTAAAAGCCCTGTTCTAACACAGGCCCTTCGTACGTCATTATACTAGTTGTCTGAGACTATAATGTCTCACATGCTGAGGGCTCCATACTGTATTGTAAGGGTATTCAACCTCAGGTCCTTCGTAGTCCCGAAACCTTACAATCTGAATTCCGTACTTGTTCAATGAACTATTTTGGGGTCCTTTTCATAAGGGTCCTATTATTTAGGGTACCATATTAGGGTCCCCGATTTTCGGCCCTGACCCGGACTACCGAATCCTTCCAAGAACGTGTGAAGACTGTTTTCAACATTCGACAGACCTGATTGAGAAATACCCTTGAGGAGATCCGAAACCCCAAGCCATTGAATTGCAAAGCCTACACCCCAGCCCTTATTCCTACATTTCAATCCTGACCGTTTCAGGTCCCAACCCCCAACTTCCAAGCTCTTTATCATGTACCCCCTCAAACCCTAAATCCCAAGCCCTAAACCGTAAAACTTATACCCCGAATCCTAAACTCCCGCGCCCCCAACACAAACAGAACCCTTAAATATACAGCTCCTTATTGTAATGTGCACCAAAAACCCATTCTAATTATTAAGGCCCCTATATCATAGAACCCTAGTAAAGATCCCTTATAGACCCCTTCTATATAAGGACCCCTATGCAAATTATGAAGGCCCCTACATGCGTAGAGATGACTCGGGTTTGCGATGGAAGGGTCTGGGGCCTTCGTAGCCTGGTCGTGGGGGGTCCTGCTACATAAGGTGCTGCCGCCCAGCCCTCAGATTTAGGTTTTAGGGTTGAGGGTTTAGGGGTTTAGGTTTTAGAGTTGAGGCTTTAGGGGTTTAGGTTTTAGGGTTGAGGGTTTAGGGGTTTAGGGTTTAGGGGGTTAGGGGGTTAGGGGTTAGGGTTTAGGGGTTTAGGGTTTAGGGTTTAGGGTTTTAGGGGTTAGGGCTAGGGCCTTCGGAACCATGCCATTAACCCTAAGCCCTTACACGATCTCTGAGAAGGCTTAAGTTCCAAGCCTCGGAAGCCCTAAAATCCCTAAAACCCACCCGCCTCCTGAGTTGAAAGCCTTACACCCGCAAGCCGTAGAGACCCAAAGCCTTCTAATGTGGAAGCCATTAAGGGTTTCTTTAAAGGCTACTATTACGGCTCCTTGATTAATGTAATAAGGGTTACTAGACGGGTGGCTTTAAGGGTTGTTACAAAGGTTGCTGTAAGGGTTGCCGTAAGGTTCCTAAAAGATAGCGTCTAATTATAATAATTGCTGTTCACGGGTTCCTTGGCTTTAGTATACCCTATACTATGATACCCCAACCCTAACAATTAATTCGCACCCAGTATTATGTGGTAAGCCCTGAGCAGGACGAGTTTGAAGTCTGCGATGCGGACAACTCCGGGATGGGTCAAGGGCTGAGAGCTCTGGCAGTCTGGTGGGATTGAACTCACGGGTATTATAGGGGCCTGAATATTTACCCATACTATTTTGGGGCTCTAAAAAACCTATTACAATGCTTAAGGCGCCTTTATTACTCAGGGTCTGTATCTGGGGTTGGTAAATTCGAGCTTCTGTGTTTCGGGCTTCGGGGCTTTGCACAGGCGTGGGATAGATCAGTCATTACCGAGTATACGTCGTATGATCAGTGTTTCATAATGTTTGATGCGAGAATACAACTCTCAAGCACAGCTACTCCTGCTAGCACAAAAGCAACTAAGGGTGACCGTCTTATTCGTCGTTTAGTACAAATCTTAGTGTGACGTACTTCAGCGCAAGCAGTCCAACTCGATTTGGCAGCAGTAGTCGCCGTTTGGGTAGCAGGGTTTAATCCTGAATCCCGAAACCCTCAGGTACAAACCCCCTAAACCCTAGACCCCGAAACACTAAACCCCTAAACCCTAAACCTTAAACCCCGAAACCCCGAAACCCTAAACCCTAAACCCCAACCCCTATGACCCCTAACCCCGAAACCTTAAACACCGAAACCCTCAACCCTAACCCCAAAGCTTTGCCCAAGGCGACTGTCATCCTGATCAGGATGCCATTCTGCGGCTTGGCAAGATTTGGGATAGCCCAAGCCCTGTTTAGCGTTTAGGGTAGTTTAGGGTTTAGGGTTTAGTATTAGTGCCCTGAACGGCAGGCAAAGCACCGTGAGATGCTCGTGTTGTTTTGTTTTAGTTTGGTTTGTTTGGGGTTGAGGGTTTAGGTACTCATAGCTTTTTGACTAGCAGGTATCATGCGCTGTACCGACGTCATTTAACTAAGGAGTCGTTGTTAAATGGAGCACGGTGAAATTTTGAATATGCCAACCTGAAGACCAAGTCCACGCTGTGCCCATCAAGGTCTTTCACACGAGATGTAGATCAACCCTGAACCCAAACCCTTGAACCCTAAACCCTAACTAAACCCTGAACCTTAAACCCTACCCTAAACCATGAACCCTCAAACCTAAACCCTGAACCCTCAACCCCATACCCTGAACCCTAAACCCCAAACCCCAAACCCTGAACCCTAAGCTCTAAACCCCAAACCCTCGAGCATCTGAGTGGCCCCGCCCAAACCCCACCTAGGGCAAGCTGGAGCCAGTGGAGCGACTGCAGCGCCTCCTGCAACGGCGTCCGCATGCACCCACGGCCGCAATTTCCTGTAACATAGGAGCCTGAAGAATTCGAACCGGGTCTAGGGGGTTCTTCATTATCATTAAGGCTCCTACATTATGTGCTGTGTGTGCTCTGCGTGTGCGTGTGCGTGTGGGTGTGTGTGTGTGTGTGTGTGTGTGTCTTTGTTTGTCTTTTTGTCCGCTTAGTCTTTGTTTGGATGTTGTGGAGGGAGGGGTTGGGGTTTAGGGCCTGAGGCTATGAGGCAGTATCTAAGACTAGTGCTTGCTGTTCGGAAGGCTGCGAAGGTTTCTGCTCAGGTTTATGTTGGAGTTTTGTTTAGTCATATAGTTCTGCTTGGGAACAGTAGGTACTCTATCTTTTGGCTGCTCTTGTGAGGATACCAGTATACAAACCCGTAACTTCTCAGGGTTTATTGTTACCATCTCCACCCTAAAGACAAGACCGCATAAACATAGGATCTCATTCCTAAGGTTTCTGCTGCCCAGTTTCGAGGCGTTCCTTTTGGGGTTCCAGTTGTCACTAAATATAGGGGCCTGAGTGCAGCGTCGCTATCATCAAAGTTAGAGTTCAGGGCTCTATGGTATGAGCGACTTCTCAAGTTTCATTTGCCCCAAAACCCTGCCGGAACCGTCGAGGCCCCTGTGTTCCCATTATTCAGGTCCCTTTTATAATATGCAAGTAGAAGTCACAAGCACAATGAATTTTCAGCTACCATTCCGACTGCTTATGTCAACTGATCCTGGCATACAGCGCAGCTACTCCAAACCCTCCTAAACCCCAAGCCCTAAACCCTGAACCCTAAACCCTGAACCCTGGATCCGAAACTCCAAACTCTAGCATTCAGAACTGTAGAATTCTGAAGCTGTAAACCCTCGGCTGTGAACCCTCGAATCCCCAAGCTTTCAAAGCGACCCAAAGCGCTAGCATCCTAAAGCCATACATCTTCGATATCTTGAAGCCTCGAAATCTGAGGCGCAATCGTCAGGTCAGCCAGTATGCGGAAGGCAACCAGTCTCCATTCAGAGTTGAGGGTTTCGGGCATCCGGGGTCAGGGGGTTTTAGGGGTGCTCGATACCTGTGAGGGATTGTCGCCCTCTGGGCGTTGGAATGTCCAAGTTTGCAGCTACGTCCCTTGAGGGCTGCCCGTTTTGGGTTTAGCAGTTGTTTGGGGTTGAGGGTTTAGGGTGCTGTCCGCATCTTCTTTCCCACCTATACCGTGCAGTTGAATTTTTTCAAACGACCGGACACGTCGAGGTTGCACTCGTAGCGATTAGGGTTCAGACCCAAGTCACGAGAACCGTACCCTAGTCCCTAAATCCCACAACCCTAATCCTGACTTTTGCGAGATGTGCCTTTGGAGTCTTCTTTCCCCCCGGCCTTTGACAGGCCGCGGAGAGCAGCTGGTGGAGACACCGCTGACGGAAGTGCAGCCACTTTGATGCAAGTAGTCTAGATGCCAAGAAAGTTAGTTTAGTATTCCTCTATAATCCCTCATCCTGGGAAGTTACGCCATGCTAGACCCCGAAACCCTGTCGTAAGTATTAGGCCCCTATGTCAGTTGGCTTCAGGTTCGTAAAAGAATGAAGCTTGGCAACTGTGGGACGGAGGGTGTAGCATGTCTTGAGTGACTCGTAGGCAAGACCTGTTCCGTTGTGGGGCCTAGTAGAACATTCATCCAAAAACGGGTTAAGCTCGTAATCCAGATCTCGGGTAACAAGCCCCGATGCAAACATCCTAAACCCTAATCAATGAACCCTAAACTCCCAAAACATACAGACCCCAAATTCATAAAGCCCTATAGCCAGCCCCAGCATCCCTTAGAGAACCCTAAGCCCACAGGCCCCAAAGCCCTATACACTACTGTTGATGGTATAAATCCAGCATTACCTTGAGGGTCCTAAAAAATGGGAATTATGGTATATGTTCCTTATTATGGGTAATGCAGGATTTATATCATCAACCGTATCAGCCTTAAGCCCAGCTACAACCTTTGACCCGCAAAACCCCAGACTCCCGAAAGGGTGATCGAAATCGC